AGCGCGTATTAATATATTTAAAAACTAATTTTATAATTTTTTTATATAACTTTATTTTTTTTTAGGCTTTATAATATACTTAGTAATATAATAAAGTAAAAAGTGCTTATTAATATATATAGCTATATTTAAGTTTACAAGCTATTTTAAGTTAATAGTTAAGTTAAATATATTTAGGGTTATGTTATTATAAGCTAGAAAAAAATAGTAATATATATTATTAATTAGTTTTATTAATTAAGAATTACGCCGTGTTATTATAAAAAAATAAAAATAATAAATAACCTGCTTGGTTTACTTATTTTTTTATTAATAGTAATTTATACTATAATAATAGCATAGTACGTGGTTTATAACCTATATAAAATAGGTAAGTATATTTTCTTACTAAAACTAGGGTAGCTAGATAGCCTTATAATTTATATTAATAATAATAATTTATATATAAAAAGGATTTATAGCTATAATATACATGCCCTAATAGGCCTTAAATAATTACTATAACTTATTAAACTATTAAAAATTATTAAAAATGGGGGCGGATTATATTTAATATATATTATAATTATAAGTTAAATCTTAACCTTGCTATTTATAGTAAGACTAATTATTTATAATATTAAATTTAGGCTTAATAACTATATTAAAAAATATATAATAGTAATAATAAAACCATGCTATAATAATATAAAGATTATTTTATAAATTATATTATATAATTTATTTATAAATAGCTTTTATATTATCACGCTATATTTTATACTTAAGTAATTATTATATTAAGTTATTTTAATATAAATTAGCTACAAAAAATATTAGGAATAGGTAAGCTATGCTTATTTAAAAAATAAGTGGTTAAAATAACACGCATGGTAATAGGAAATAGGCTACTTATTAATATTTTTAATTATAGCTTTTAAGCTATTTTTTTTATTATATTAAAATAGCCACGTACCGCGAATAATTTTAAAAAAACTAATAATAAAACTTAGTAGTATAAATAATTTAATTATATTTAATTAAAAGGCTACCTATAACTTTTTTATAAAAATATCTTACTAGCCGGGCGCGTGGTTATAAATATAAAAACTAGCTTGCTAATTTATTTACTAATAATAAATTATATTAAAGTAAATATATTAAAACTAGGGATACCATATAAAATAGCCACTTTTATATTTAAGTAAGTATTTAATATAATTTATAAATAATACCTCGCGCGGGCATGTTATAACTAGCTTTATATTATTATAAAAAAAAAAAGTAAAAAATACTAGTAATAATAATTATTACAAGTAATTAAACTTAAATAATAATATTATATAAAATAAAAAAAAAGTTAAATAAGGGTTATTATATACTAGCTTAGTAGTATTATTTACCATGGCCTGTAAAGCCTTAAACTTTATAATTATTATAAGTAAATTAGGTATTATAACTATATTAAGCGCTTGTATATTATTAGGGTTTACTTATTAATTATTATTTAAGGTAATTAGCTTACTGGCTAGCTCCTGGTTTAAAATAAAATAATTAACTAGTTTATTTTTTAGTAACTATATAAGGTTATAATTATTTTTAATTATATTTTAATACCCTAAATAATTTACCTAAAGGTAATTTAGCTATTATTTAACTACTTAATACTATACTTTAAAGTTATAATAAAATTATAAGTATATTTTTTAATTTATACTAAAATTAAACAGCCGCAAGATTAATACCTTAAATTTTTTAAGTAAAAGTAGGAGCTATTTATATACTTAATTAATATTTTATAAAAAGTTAATAATATAGCCTTTATATAAATACTAGTAACCTTAAATATAATAAATTTTAATAAATATATAAACTTTTATAATTAATATTTTTTTAATTTATATTAATTTTAAGAGGTAAAAAAAAATATTACTAGGATTTATTTTATTTTATAAACTAAATTTAAAAATTTTTTAGTTTTAGTTAGTTAACATGTAACGCTTGTAAATATTATTTTTTTTTAAAGGTTTATATTAAATTACTATTTTTAATAATAATTATATATTTTTAATTAATATATATTAAGCTAGTAATAAAAGTTATTTAATAGCTTTTAATTATAGTTTATAATAGCTAAATATATAAAATTAATTAAAAAAATAAATATAGTAAGAAAGTATAATTTAGATTTATATATATAAAAGGGCTGGAGTTAACTTTAATAGTTTATAAAAATAAAGGTAAATTATTTTTAATAATAAACTAAAAGCTTATAGTAGTTAAGCTATTAATATTTAATTTAATATTATTTTTATTAATAATAATGGCTGGCTGCGGGCGCCTACCTAATAGGCAAGGTATAAATAATAATAAAAACATGGCTATTGCGGGTATAAAAGGGGGTATAAAAATAGTAAATATAATTAATAATAATAAGTATATTAAAGGTAAATAAAAAAGCTAGGGTTTACTAAAATTAATTATATAAGCTACTTAATTAATTACTTACTATATATATTATTATTTTATATTTTTATAATATTTTTTTATTTATTATAAGTTATTAAATAAATATATACTATAGTATTAATAATCTAGCTTTAGCTATAGTAAGCACGCTTATTATATATTTAGGTTAATTATACTAAAAAAAAAATATTAAAGGGGTAGAATAAAAAGGCCTGTAACTATAATAAATTATTTACTTTTTTTTATTATATATTAGTAGCTGTAATATACATGCAAGGTAGTATAAACATGCCTAGTTTTTATAATTATTATAGGTTTAGCAAGATTTACAGCCCGGGTGTTATTAAAATTATAATAAAAAAAGTATAATACTATAATAAGTATAAATTATAATTAACTTTATAATTAAATTTATTTATATAAATTATAAGCAAGAAAGGGATTATAAACCTAAGGTTTAAATTATTATATTATTAAAAAAACTATATTATAAGGTTAAAATAATAAAATAAGGTTATATAACTACCCTTTTTTTTAGTTAATTAATATTATTTAGCTTAAGTAATAAAAGGAGGTTATATAACTACCCTTTTTTTTAATTAATTAATATTATTTTACTATTTTACATAATTCCTAATAAAGCTCACGTGACTAGGAGCCGGGACCTACAATTTATTGTGCGCGGGCCTCCACTTTATTCCGGCCTCGTGTAATTATCACGTGACTCCACGATTGCTAGGTGTCAGACACGACCATGATTATGCATCGACGAGGCCATCGCGAAAAGCGTGAATACTCGAGATGGATCAACCGTTTTGACTGCCTAAGGAGTCCTAGGTACCCAATCTGCTACTGATCCTGAACCAATTTACGCTCGTCAAAACACCGTGACCAAAACGACCACAGCGTCATCTCGAGTCTTCCACCTTATTCTCCGGCTGCTAAGATACCGCGGACTACTTGCTCTTTCCTGATGTATGCAAAGCGGAGGGCTCCTCCGTCTTGGGGTTTGAGGAGTGTTTCGACTTGATCCCGGGTAAAATTGGATACGAGGCTTTGCGCCCGGTTGCTTGTCCCGGCTGCTTGTGACTCGTGAGGATGCAACTTTCTTCCAACGTTTCCCATAGCCGCCAATGCTCTCTACGGCCACGCGGCCAATATGCGGAGGTTCCATGAGGGAAAGATCGACAGAGTACATCAAGGTGTCTACGACCCTTCCCCAATGCCCTGTCGGATACTCAATACCACTCTTCGACCAATGCATTGTCTACACCGTCATAAAGCGCGACCACTAACTGTCAGCATCGGCATCCTTTTGAGAAATATTCGCCGCGAGCTCTCTGAAGAGTGGAACGCCAGTGCTTCCAGGACCGGTCAACGCAGTCTCACGTCCTGAAAGCTTGATCCCCGTCGTTGCCCGATGGCTTTCGTACCTGGAATCATGGTTGACAGTCAAAACTAAGGGAAGCGATAAGCGAAGCATTGGCGTTGATCAGGATGGCTTGCAGAATCTGGGGTCAGTCTGAATTGGCGGGACTACAGTACATCGCTTGAATCCTTCCAGTCCCAACCCCCGCACTCCGATCGCTAGGGTGAAGAACAGCCCAAAGATTAAATTAAACTCCACCAAAACCCTAAATTGATTCGGGAAGTAGACGGCCATACCAGGATCCGTCCCGCCAATGGCCTTGACAACGCCTTTTCTAGCATCCAAGCGGCCAAGGCTTTCTAATCTGCGTCCTTGCCGTTCTACCCCGGAAGAATTCTGGCGCCACCTATGCGTTTGATGCATGAAATGAGTTAGGGCAGATGTGTCATCCGTTTAATACTTTCACATCCGATAATTACCGACACAGACACTGTGGGCTAGCGTGGGCGTCCAGGGTCAGGTACCGGGCTGTTCCTGCATACCTTCATGTGCCGTTCACTATGCGGATGAAATGCGTATTTACCTTTGGCACGGGGGATGGGTCTACTCACTAGAAGCTCAATGGTCAAGGAGAATGAAAACAGGAGTTGCTCGACTGAGCGCCTCCCAGTCCCTCTGCAACCCCGGAAAGAAGTCTCCAGCAAAGTGCAGAATCTGCCCCTGCAATTTTGCGCCTCAAACGAGATCGACAAAACCATTCCCCAGATTGTACCGCATCCGGGTTATGCTCGGAGCTTTCTCCGTAGACAATAACTCGATTGATACCAAGTTACCATGGCCATTGGTTGTTGTCGAAGACTCCACAATCTCGGTAGCTGGATTGTATTACCATACTTAGCAGAGGTCATCAAGCATTCACGTTTGCAGCATGGAGCTATCGCCGCTCCCTCGAGGCGCTTATACTCTATCCTTTGAAACAGTGAACATGACGGCGTCACGGTCCGTCAACCGTGTTTGTTCAGGAAGAGTAGGTTTGATCATCCCAAATGAGCATGCAGGCGATAGGCAGTATTCATCTTGGGATGGGGTATAAAGACCACCTGCATGCCCCGTCTTACATCTGAACATCAGCTCTGCGGGACAGACAACAGACACAAAAAGAAAACCTCTTGTTCCTTCAAAGATGTACCAACGCGCTCTCCTCTTCTCTGCTCTTCTGTCTGTGACTCGGGCCCAGCAGGCAGGCACCCAACAGGCAGAAGTCCATCCGTCCTTGACATGGCAGAGATGTGAAGCCAGCGGATCGTGCACCAACGTTGCAGGCTCGGTTGTGCTTGATTCCAACTGGCGTTGGACTCACTCGGTTGAAGGGTACACCAACTGCTACACTGGCAACTCCGTAAGCTATCAAGTACCTCTTTCGTCGGTCCCGGCTAATCCGTTCATAGTGGGATTCAACTCTGTGCCCTAACAACGAGGAATGCGCTGCGAACTGTGCCGTCGACGGTGCCGACTACTCTGGTACCTATGGTATCACGTCCACTGGTGACTCACTGACTTTACGATTCGTCACTGGTTCGAACGTTGGCTCTCGTGTGTACCTGATGGAGGATGACGAGACCTACCAGACCTTCGACCTGCTCAATAATGAGTTCACCTTTGACGTTGATGTCTCTAACCTCCCTTGTGGCTTGAACGGCGCCCTTTACTTCACCTCAATGGACGCCGATGGTGGTCTGAGCAAGTACGAAGGCAACAACGCCGGTGCCAAGTATGGAACCGGTTACTGCGACTCTCAATGTCCTCGCGATATCAAGTTCATCAACGGATTGGTAAGCTGTGACTTGGTCGTTGCTACACATTGGGCAATTAGCTAACGCTAGCACAGGCAAACGTCGAGGGATGGGAAGGCTCTGAAAGTGACCCCAACGCTGGCGTTGGTGGAATGGGCACTTGCTGCCCTGAGATGGACATCTGGGAAGCCAACAGCATCTCTTCTGCCTACACCCCTCACCCTTGCGATGACATTGGACAGACCATGTGTGAAGGCGATGCCTGCGGTGGTACCTACTCTGACGACCGCTACGGCGGTACCTGTGACCCTGATGGATGTGATTTCAACTCTTACCGCATGGGCAACACCAGCTTCTATGGTCCCGGCGGCATCGTGGATACCTCCCAGCCCATCACGGTGGTGACGCAATTCGTTGCTGACGGCGGCTCTCTAACCGACATCAAGCGCTTCTACGTCCAGAACGGCGAGGTCATCCCCAACTCTGAGTCCAACATCTCGGGTGTGGAAGGCAACTCAATTACCTCCGAGTTCTGCACTGCCCAGAAGACCGCTTTTGGTGACGAGGACATCTTCGCTCGGCACGGCGGCCTTGCCGCTATGGGTGATGCCGCGTCCGCCATGGTTCTCATCCTCAGTATCTGGGATGACCACTATGCTAGCATGATGTGGCTTGACAGCACCTACCCAGAGGATGCTGACCCAAGCGAGCCCGGTATTGCCCGTGGTACCTGCGCGCACGGTGCTGGTGACCCTGATGTCGTTGAATCCGAGCACCCCGATGCGTCGGTCACTTTCTCCAACATCAAGTTCGGTCCTATCGGCTCCACATTCTAAACGAGTAAAGCCAGCACAGCGTATTTCGTGTACGGGGTACTTCGGGGTCTTTGTTCGCTGAAGAATTAAAGTCTTTTTTGTACATAGTGGTTGGAGATCCTGCCTGGATAGCAGGATTGTTTTCCCATGTCTATATATGTTTCGGTTCGCTGGTCCGCTCTTCAAGCTGGACGTGCAGCAGCTTGCTCTTTGCTTAGGTGACTGCGTCTGTTGTTTTTCCATACGAAAATGAATTGCTTCCTTATCCATTACCTAACTCGTGAATTCCCTCCGTACGGCAACAAACCATACCTCCTACAATCCTACCTAGTGACAAGCTGCTACCCCGAGAAACCTCCGGTCCTCACTGTCATTCTTATCGATAAGCGGAGTAATCTCGGCCCGCACCACCAAACAAATCAATCCTAGAAAGCTCTAAGCTCCATCCCAAAAATCCGACGATCACGGACTCAATTGCCAGACAAAACCCTCAATCGCAGACACAAAGATCGCAGACGCACACGCAATTGTGCTGCCACTACGATGTTCGACACAGTCTGTACCCTCCCGCTAAGCGCGGACCTCTTCGCGCAAGCAATCCACCCCTCCGAGCCCGTCATCTCAGTCGGCCTCTCAACGGGCCACGTCCAGACATTCCGGCTCCCGGCTGAAGAAGAGGAGGACAGCGACGATGACCAGGCATCTGTCGCCAGCTCGCGCAATGGCAAAGGACACATTGACACGATGTGGAGGACGAGACGGCATAAGGGGAGCTGTCGCACTTTGACGTTTGGAGTTGATGGGGAGGTGCTGTACTCTGCCGGTACGGATGGGCTGGTTAAGGCCGCGAGAGCGGAGACGGGTGTTGTCGAGAACAAGATTCTGATTCCTACCGCCAAGGACGGGTGAGTGATGTCTCGGTTGAGCTCAATAGCATGTTTCTGAGTTCCGATTGCTAACCGACTTTTCTACTTGACAGGTCCGTTGACGCGCCGACCGTTGTTCATGCGCTTTCCCCGCAGACGTTATTACTCGCTACGGACTCGAGCAAGCTACACTTATATGACCTGCGCGTCCCGTACTCGAAAGTTTCGGCTCCGCCCCAGCAGACGCACCGCCCTCACGATGACTACGTTTCGTCCTTGACCCCGCTCCCCGCATCGGACACCAGCACATCTGGGTTCAGCAAGCAGTGGGTGACCACCGGAGGTACCACGTTGGCAGTTACGGATCTCCGACGAGGCGTGCTCATGCGCAGCGAAGACCAGGAGGAGGAGCTCATTAGTTCTACATACATTGGCGGTCTGTCATCCAGTGGGACGAGTCGTGGCGAGAAAGTCGTTGTTGGCGGTTCCAGTGGCATCTTGACGCTTTGGGAGAAGGGCGCTTGGGACGACCAGGACGAGCGAATTTACCTTGAAAGAGGCGCAGGCGGCGGAGAGTCCATCGAGACACTCTCTGTTGTGCCTGATGAACTCGGCAAGGGCAAGATGCTTGCGGCTGGTCTCGGAAATGGAAAGGTGAAGTTTGTCAGGATGGGCATGAACAAGGTTGTCTCGGAGCTTACGCATGATGAGACGGAGGGCGTAGTTGGACTTGGATTCGACGTTGAAGGTCGCATGGTCAGTGGTGGTGGACAGATCGTGAAGGTTTGGCATGAGACGGCAGATACGATGGGCGGGAAGCGCGGGTTTGAAGGTAGCGATGACAGTGACGAGGACTCGGATGACAGCGATCGTGAGGCAAAGCAGAAGGACAACTCGCGGCGGAAAAACAAGAAGCCAAAGGGCAAGGATCGGGGCAAGGAGGTCATGGCGTTTGCTGATTTGGATTAGGGCTTGATTGGGAGATACCCTTATTGCTGTATATCTATACTATATACTCTGTTGAGCACTCTAAAATAATGATTACCACAGCTATATCCGCAATTCCGTCCTGTCCTCGATATTGGGTGATGGGGTATTTCCGATGAGGATGGCCCCGAAAACGAAGTATAGAGTCGATACCATTGACAGCAGAACAGAGCATCGGTCACAAATCCTTTCTTCTGCATTATTACCAATATACTCTCCATAGCATGTCATTCTATATATACTAGATTTGCGTCAGTCAAGTTGTATAGCAACGGCTAATTGCTATCCGATGCAGCCCCGCGACCCCGAGACCCACGGCAGCGACGATTTGCCGAACTCTACAAGCTTCATGACGTTCCAATCGCTCCCGGTGGGGTGTGGGGAGAATGCCAATTATTCATGATGATCAAGCCTTGTCTGAATCCCTATATCAAACGGCGGGTTTCCTCCTCTCCATTCCTCCCTCCATCGACACATACACTCACATAACCCACCACAATGGACGCCTTCGAGTACAACGCCAACCCGGGCCGCGTCGTCTTCGGCAGCGGCACCCTCCAGAAACTCCCCGATGAGATTGCGCGCCTCGACAAGAAGGCTCCCCTGGTCCTCTCGACCCCTCAGCAGGTCAGCCATGCCGAGCGCGTTAAGGAAGTCCTGAAGGGCCAGGTTGCGGGCATCTTCACGGAAGCGACCATGCACACGCCGACGCATATTACGGACAAGGCCGTTGAGTATGCGAAGGCGCAGAATGCCGACGTTGTCATTTCGATCGGTGGTGGCAGCACGATTGGTCTGGGCAAGGCTATCAGTATCCGCACTGGGCTGTACCATGTCTGCATCCCAACTACGTATGCAGGGAGCGAGATGACGCCTATCCTGGGTGAGACGGCGGATGGTTTGAAGAAGACTCGCTCTGATCCCAAGATTCTCCCTGGCACTGTTATCTACGATGTTGATCTTACGATGACTCTGCCCAGCGCGATGAGCGCGACGAGCGGTGTCAATGCCATTGCTCATGCTGGTTAGTTGCTCGCCCCTTCTATGCTCTTCGAAAAGCGAAGGCTAATTTCTTACGAACAGTCGAGGCTCTCTACGCGCGCAACACTAACCCCGTCATCAACTTGATGGCCCTAGAGGGCACGCGCGCGCTGGCATCCGCCCTCCCCGAAATCGTCGAGAACCCCTCCTCCGAGTCCGCTCGCTCGCTCGCCCTCTACGGCGCCTGGCTCTGCGGCACCTGCCTGGGAAGTGTGGGAATGTCGATCCACCACAAGCTCTGCCACACCCTCGGCGGTAGCTTCAATCTTCCTCATGCGGAAACGCACACAGCTGTCCTGCCCCATGCAATCTCCTACAACGCCCCTAAGATCCCCGAGGCAATGAAGAAGTTGGCGGAAGTGCTGCCTGAGAGCAACGGCGATGCGATCCACGGACTGAATGTCCTGCTTACCAAGCTGAAGGTTAAGCGTGGTGTTAAGGACTACGGCATGAAAGAGGAGGATATCGATAAGGCGGCTGACATCGCTGTTGGCAACCCTTACTGGAACCCCAGGGAGATTGAGCGGGAGCCTATCCGGGAGTTGATTCGGAGGGTGTGGGCTGGTGAGCCGGCGAAGGCTGATCTGTAGATCTTGACATGATTGTATATAAATCGCCATGAATCCATGATTTTATAATCGAATCTTCGAGTCGAGTGTATAAGTTGGGCTTCCTTAAAATGGCCCCTCAGTAATTGGCCGCGGGGTAGGTGGGGAGATCGGAGTTTGGCTGCAAAAAAAATCAAAAACTCATCCTACATCAATCCCGTCACGCCATCACGATCACTCGTTTTTCTAGGCTATCAGTCATAATGTCTTCGGAACCGGCGACCGCGCCCGTTCTATCTACCCCGGATGATCGTATCCTCGAAGAAACGAACCCCGTCGCACCGGAAACGAACCGCATTATTTCGGAGGAGGAACTCGCCATCACCTATGACATCGAACGCACATTGAAGGAAATTCGCCAGGCGCGGTACAAGCGGATCGCGCTTCAGTTTCCAGATGAGATGCTCCCGGATGCACCACGGGTGTTCCAACTTCTGAGTCGAGGATTAGAGACACGAGAAATTGCAGACGGAGGTTCAGCGCAGAAGGACGAAACGGGTAGTGATGCTACGAACGGCTTAGCGGACACTGTGTCCCGCCTTGATGTCAAAGACGCGGCTGAGTGGTCACCGAGGCTCTACATCCTGGCTGATACCTCGTACGGAACATGCTGTGTGGATGAGGTCGCGGCGGAACATGTCGATGCGGACGTTGTCGTGCACTACGGACGTTCATGTCTATCCCCGACAGCCAGACTTCCAGTGATCTACGTCTTCACGCACAAGGAGTTGCCTCTCGACCCCGTCGTCAAGGCGTTCAAGGAGACCTACCCGGACCCAAACACGAAGGTGGTCCTCGCCGCCGACGTGACGTACTCAGACCATGTTCTTGAATTATACTCGCGCCTGGTGCGAGAGGGCTACAGCAACTTGTTTGCCACAGCGTTGGTCCACGATCCGTCGTCTCTCATTCCTAACCGCACCGTTCCAGATTCGGTCAAAGAGGCCCCGGAGTCGCTGGGAGACTGGCAGCTTTTCCACATCTCTGAACCACCCACAGCGCTGCTTATGACGCTGGCGTCTCGCGTGGCGGCGATCCACATCTATCCGACTGACGGTCCAGCTGGCGCCGATGTCAAGCCTCTACCCGCGTCGACCGCAATGGCTCTGCGTCGACGCTATGCTATCCTAACACGGCTTAGCACGGTTCCCATCTTCGGAATCCTGGTCAACACACTGAGTGTAAAGAATTACCTCCACATCGTGGATCATGTTAGAGACAAGATCGCAGCAGCAGGGAAGAAGAGCTACATGTTTGTGGTTGGCAAGCTGAACGCGGCCAAGGTAGCCAACTTCAGCGAGATCGGTGGCTGGGTCGTTATCGGGTGCTGGGAGAGTTCGCTAGTCGACAGCAAGGACTTTTGGAAACCCGTCATCACTCCGTTTGAGCTGGAGGTTGCACTCAAGGGAGACGACGAGCGGGTCTGGACAGGGGCCTGGCAGAGCGACTTCCAGAGCGTGCTTGACCAGCCTTCCGAAGGTTCCGAAGAGCCAGGGAATGGCGAGGCGACAAACGATGCACCCGCATCCGCATCCGCATCCGGAGACCAAGGCGGGGACGAGGACGAGGACGAGGATACTATGTCGGAACCCGAATCTGCACCACCAGAGTTCGACTTCCGGACCGGTCGGTACGTCTCCGACTCACGTCCGATGCGGGAATCCGCGCCCCGCGTTTCCGCATCTCAAGGCGCAGCAGCAGCAATCTCTGCGCCCGCGGGTGCGGCTGATGGGCCATCTGCTGCGCGAGCGCTCGCCAGGCGAGCAAAGGGCGACTTGGCCATGGTTGGAAACACTTTCTCGCCAGGGGCGGAATTCCTGCGATCGCAGAGGACATGGACAGGGTTGGGAAGCGACTTCAATAGCGCGGCGAATGTTGAATATGATGGCGAGGGGGAGGACGACAGCACGCTTGTTGTGGAAGGGCGCAAGGGCATTGCAAGGGGATATACGGTTGGGGAGTCAATAGATAGGCACTAGACTGGTCCGGGCCCTGGACTTTTGGCCTGAAAATTCGACTCTTATCTCAGATCGGGTGCTTAGGTACAAGAGGGATTTTCTGTTTTCTGGATGCCGGATCCGCGCAATTACTCCGTAAGCGCAGCACCAATAGTTAGGATCTTTATTGAATAGAGTGTGTGACTCGCTAAATAGACTAATGAGGATCTGGACATAAATTGCATGATGTCTAAAGGAAGGTCCAGTATAAAGCGAAGAGACAGTGAATCGAGGCGACCTATCACATGATGGGCGCTGGGCAAGGCCCGGGATTTTGTCCTCATTGCTTTTCTGAGTTGTCCGACAACCCCCTCAGCGCCTGCATTAACCGCCGGGAGAAGAGTTGACTTTTTGACTGTATCCCCCATTGATGGCTTTCTCTTCCCAGGCCCCCGGATCTTAGGTGCACCTCCTTTATACGCGTCCCTCCCTTTGACTGCACCCTTATGATGTGCCGTACCGCCCGCATCCTCCGCTGTGTCCGCGATATCGCGTCAGCCTAAAACCCATCCCGGGTAAAAGGAAAGAAGACGACAAGTTGAGAAAGAATATTCTGGTTGCTCGGGTAGCAAGTGTTGCCGCCATGTCCCTCGTTCACGACCCGATAGTGATACCGCCTGGTGCGGAGAGGCCGGAGATAGAGACGGAGACGGCTGAGGAGATTGGGGAAGAGGAACAGCACGGCTACGAAGACCAGGAGACGATAAATACTGTCCTGAACGAACATACAGCACAGAGCCGTCTGTCGTTATTCGAGCGAGTCATTACCACGCATACACCGATCCTTGAATCCCTCTTACTCCAGACGCCGACCGCAGCCATACTTAGACTCTCCCATACCTCACGCTTCCTACGATCCTTCCTCCGCTCGTATCCGACAGCATGGAAATATTTGTCGTTCCGTTTACTGTACCCCTCTGGCACGCAGACGCCGCTGCGAATCATCCTTCCAGGAGCGCAAGACCCCAGAACACCGCGCCAGTCTCGCCAGTATGCTCTAGACCAGCTGCTGATGAATGTGGTGGTACCGTTTAGCCCGTGTTTGAAGAGCCTGGAGCTGGATAACACGGCGGTGTCCGGGCAGATTCTCATTGCGACCGTTTTGAATCCTCGTCGGGAAACGCTGGAGCACCTCTCTGTTCGTGGATGCAAGAATGTTTCGTTGAAGTACCACATCATTCCGTATTTGACCATGTTCGGCTTGCAGTACGATGTCAGCATGGAGGACAATATTGGCAGCTCGCCCGCGACGCAGCATCTTGCACTGAAGAGCCTCTACACCTACCGTTGTCGCCATCACCGACGCCGGCCTTATCTTTCCTCCTCCCTCACGCGAAAGGATTCCGATTCTGAACCGACCCATGAACTAGTGAATCTATGCCATAAACTTGGGATCTGGACCGATACGGCGTGGTGCTCGACCCCGGCTGGGAGGTGTTTCCGGAGGAGAGGGTATGTCGCTATGCGCGCCCCTCAGGGCACGCCGGATGTGTGGGTGGTGTTTGATCGGCTGTGGAGGTCGAAGAATTGGATTGGTCAGGTTGAGGGCTCAAGCTATAGTCCAACCCAGAAGGATGGAAAATTATGGGAACACGATGAAACTGGATGCTATGGTGAAGCTCTTGGTACCGGGGAGAAGAGAGAGCTGGGCGAGGGGAAGATGTTGCCAGCACACCTGCGTCGCAGCCACAGTCGCTTTGTTGAAAACATCCGCTGTGACAATTGCTGCGAGGTGATCCCGGAGAGATGCGAGCAGTGCAGTATTCTGATGCATTGCGTCGGATGTCGCAAGACACTCTGTGCGAGCTGCGCGTACGAACGGCCATACCTTCATGCTCATTCGCCGAAGAATTCAACGACGAGTACGCCTGCTGGAACTTTCTGGTGGGCTCCTGGAGCGACCATTTCGCCATGTTCGATGCATGATCCCGCTGAGAACACCGATGACCCTGCCACCCAGCCCAACGCCACTCTATCGTATCCGGCGTTGAAATTTCACTGGTGCTGCACCGAGCCGATCTTCTCCGGTGGTGGTGGTATCAGCATTGGTACGCCGAATCGCGATGTCGACCAAGTCCGCGCGGCTCCTTTACCCCGTGGCCAAGGCTGGGAGGATCTCGAGTACTCGGCGCAGGAATGGAGCAAATCATTCCCCAAGTATGCGTACGGCGACCCTCGCAACCCGGATTATAGCCTTGAGGCTGGCCACATTGCGATGATGAAGTGGCTGCTGGGTCCTCCCGATCGACAGCCTTCTTCTTGCCCTCGGAATCTCTGCAAAGAGTGCTATGACACGCCCCAGTGGAAGGTGCATTGCAAGACTTGCTCCAAGCCGTTGTGCATAGAGCATGATTTGCGTGGGCTCCGTCTACGGATATGCGGATATCGTGATCTCACCTTAGAAAAGCTGGCTATACAAAACCGGACCGAGACCTCGAGCTCAGTCACTCAAGCAGATGACTCGGAGGCTTTCCAAAACGCCGCAGCCACCGGTTTCGACCTCCCATATAGAACCCAGCGGACTGTCGATTCCACCACGAGCAGTTTTACAGAAGACCACCACATTGCCGAAGTCAACCCGCAACCTCCTGCAGCATCCAGTTCCGCAATACACCGCCGTTCCCGCAGCATATCCGCTTCGAACTCTAATCGGTCCCGTTCTTTATCTCCTTCCATCTACTCTGATTCTCCAGTAGAACAGCAAATTGCAAAATGGCAAGGCTGTCAGTCCTTCTTCTGCCCACAGTACCGCCCAATCGGAGACCAGCGCCAACGCTGCGCCTGTGTCTTGCGCGAATGTACCGGCTGCTCTGTTTATGTCTGCCAGGACTGCGTAACTCGCAACCCACCTTGCAAATGCTCCTACTGTGAAGCGAACTACATGTGCCCGAACTGCGCAAAACTCCGAGACCGCGACGGGACCTGTCGTCGCGCAGAAGAAGAAAAGGCCCAGCGCGAGCAGAAACTGCAGCGAGATATGCAAACACTGGAGCGGATTCTGGAGACCAAGCTCGCTAACGAAGTTGCGGAGTACGCGGGGCAGTTCTTTGGCTCCGTTGATCCTTACAGCTCGCCAGGTCTTCTCGACGAGGGTGGCGCAGCTGACGAAGATGAAGATGAGATTATCGAAGATGGCGACGACGCCCCTCCTCATCCTTTGGCTTCATCTCCACACCAAGTGGATGTGCATGAGAGCCTCCAGCTTCTCCTCATCCAAACACTGCTAGGCTCGAATGAGTAAAGCGGTCACAGTACATGATGTACCTACACACCTTACATACAAACCACCTGCTTCAACAAGCGTGAACATTATGGCCTGCTCTTCGCTTCATCTTCAAGATTGTGATACCATGGCGTCGGTCGGTTGCACATTTATCTTGCATCATCTTGTGATTTATTTTGTTTCTATCTATGATCTTTCGGCAGGGTACATCGGATGGAATGGGTTCGGATGGGGTCGGGAGTGATCTGGTTTGATTTCATTTTCGCGATCTTCAGTGTTTTTGATTCTATGTTTTCCTGCGGCTGGTCTTGCTCCGAGGCATCTACGGCGTAAAATTCTCTGTTATTGTTCCGTTCTTCATTTTCTGTTCAATATTTCAATTTGTTACCCTTCTTTTTCAGTTCTACATAAGTTGTCGTTATTTGGACACGTCCAGTCTTCTAGCAGGAAAGCTGATAAATGAGATACATATGTTGCTGTAGTGCACTTGTATGTTAAGAGTCTAAATATGTTCAAAGGATCTCTCCTAGAGCGTAAGATCGTCGTTCTATGGAAGCACCCAGAACAACAAACGGAGCCTCAAAAGGGCCCCGCACCAGCTCCGCACCGCATCCCCTCCAATTTATTTATCGCTCATGAATCCACCTTAACTCTTCCAATTTCCTCCTTTCTTCAACTCCAAAACACACCTTCGCTCAACTGATACCACAAGATGTCCGAAAAAGAACCCACCGCCACGGACGTCGCCGCCCGCGAAGCCGAAGAGAAACAGCGCAAGGCCGCCGAAGACGCCGAGCAAGCGACCCTCCCCTACAAATGGACGCAGACAATCCGCGACGTGGACGTGACGATCCCTGTCTCCGCAAACCTGAAGGGTCGCGATCTGGAGGTCGAGCTCAAGAAGGAAAGCATCAAGGTTAAGGTCAAGGGCGCAGATGGGGAGGTCTTTATCGACGTAGGCCCTTCCTGCATTTGTACCCTCACGCGGTACCAGATAGCTAACCCGGACGTCGAGGTGGCAGGGCTCATTCCCACACCCAATCAAGACCTCCGAATCCTCCTGGACGCTCGAGACGACCTCCAAGCCGCCCGGAAAGGAAATCAGCATCCACCTTGACAAAGTGAACCAGATGGAATGGTGGGCGCATGTTGTTACTACAGCGCCGAAGATCGACGTTAGCAAGATCACGCCGGAGAACTCGAGTCTCAGCGACCTTGACGGCGAGACAAGGGCTATGGTTGAGAAGATGATGTATGATCAGCGCCAGAAGGAGATGGGGGCGCCTACGAGCGATGAGCAGCGGAAGGCGGATATTCTGAAGAAGTTTCAGGCGGAGCATCCTGGTATGTGCAACTATTTTTCCTCACTCTTTGCGGTGAGGTGGAATGGATTCGAGCGTTGCTAATGGATCCTTGCAGAGATGGACTTTTCGAATGCGAAGATTGGTTAGGAGTCAGGGTAATGCTAATGAAGTTCATGATTTTTCTACGTCTATTTCCTGTTCTCTGTACGGATTGTATGTGTCCCTGGAACCTCCTCATAAAGGTATTATACGGTATTTTTCGTAGATCAGAATGATTGAGGCTGAATGAACGCACGACGCGGACCCACCACTACGTGCAATACCTACGAGGCTGGGCATTGCGACGACCATTCATCCCTCGTACTCTGAATTTCTTCTCATATCCCATCTACAATATCCTAATGTGAATCCCTTGCTCATCTATATAGACCTCAGAGATCGGCCATGAAGGGTGAGAACGCTCCATTCCGCATCCAGCTCCCCTCCAAGCCAGAGCAGCCCGTTTATCATTCACGACGCGCGCATCGCAAATCCCGGGAGGGGTGTGCCAAGTGCAAGCAACGGCGTGTCAAGGTGCGTCAGCCCTCTTGATAATTAGGCCCATACCTGGAAAATTTCACTGACTTAACTGCATAGTGCGATGAGACGCGTCCGCGCTGCCAGAAATGTGAGACATTGGGCCATGAATGCGTATACGAAGCTATCTTACCTCCTGGTTTTGGAAAGTTGAAGAAGCAAGATTTTGACGGTTTACTTAATGCACAAGTCATGAACCAGTTTCTAGTCGGACCTGATGCTACGGCGCACTCTTTTGCTGTTCGCACGGTGACAGCGCAAATCGATGAAGTGCTACAGCTGAAATCGACAGTATCTAAGTCGAAGAGATGCTTGGGTAATGTGGAGATACTACGCCACTTCCAAGATGTTATCACGCCGACCATCATTAGTGAAAATGGCAAGGATGTTATGAGAGGGAAGATGGGACGGTTGGCACTGCAGGTATTGAGAATCGCTATCATGAATGGCCAAGACTAATACGGTATTGGGGTAGTCGGCATACCTAATGCACAGCCTTATCGGCGTCGCAATTGCACATCTTCGCAATGCCCTCTCAGATACTGACAGCCGTTTGAATCACTATGCTTCTCGAAGCCCACCACTGGCAGCGTGCAATAAGACAATACAGCACTGACCTGAACTGCCCGGTCGGTCCCGAGGACATGGATGCGCTATTCTCAGCCTGTCTTCTCATGACTGTCAACTCGTTTGCGCTAGACTCGTACAACCCAGCCCAATCATTCGTGTTCTCGCCAACCCCGGCTCGGTCCCTGAACTGGCTGTTTGTTCAATCCGGCCTGCGTCATCTGCTCGGCCGTGCGGCGCCCTGGCTCCGAAAAAAGCATGTGGTGGGAAATGTTCATGGACTCGAGGAACGATCTCTTCGATGATAACCGATTCGGACGAGAAGGGCTACGCCCGGACCTCGCGGATCTCTGCGACATAACCGAATCAACAACAACGGAGAATAACCCGTACCTCTGGCCACTACGGATGCTAACGCCGTTGTTGGCGCTTGAGCCATCTTTGACTACGTTCTCGCGAACAACGACATTCATGGGCCGTCTTATGCCGGATTACTACGAGCGTCTGATCGCCAAGCATCCTCCGGCGTTGGTGATTCTTGCTTAATGGTTAGCGCTCATGATCGGGATTGATCTGTGGTGGGTGAACAAGCGTGCAAGGTCGGAATGTGCTGCCATTTGCATGCACCTACAAGGCACCTCGTCTGATCCGCTTGTCCTGGGACTCCTGGAGTTTCCTGCTAGGATATGTGGGTATCTGCTTCAGCCTACGCATTTAGACGTATTATGGTTGGAGACCTCATCGAACCTTTGACCTGTTTGTCTCCTTCGCAGGCGGACAGCCTATTTTTTTAAGGTCACGGCCAGAAGCTCTGGGTGCCCTGGGTGCCATATCGTGGATCCGGGCTTATTGTGAACATTTCCTGCCTGCCGTTTTGGAGAAACTCGGCCAGGTCCCTAGTTTTACGTCGGGAGGAAGGTGCAGGTCACAACCGCCACCAGACGAGACCAAAGACAACAAGATGAAGATCTCTTTCTCCCTTCTCAGACTCTCGTTGAAAAGCGTTATTTTGAATCTGATATCGTGCATTCGTTATCATATCAGGTTTTACCACTGTTGACATTTCACTCGCTTTTACAGAGCTCCAATACCATTAGCCACACATTCTCTTTAACTCGGCTCTTTTACCTGTTAGCGATCCGTTCACTATTAGGCCTTACAATTGTCAAAACTGGACGTCCTAAGCCATGTCTCAAGACAGATTTACCGCCACGTTTGGGACTGGTTTGTCCATGATCATGCGACAAACCCAGATGTTCAACCTGCGTGAAGCTGTGAGGCACTTCCGAATACAAGAAATCCAAGACCTACTGCGAGACCCGAAGTGCCCCGTCAACCGGTCAGTCATCGAGGATGCGGCCGTGAATTATTATAACGAGGTTATTTTCCGATTGATCGCGATGGCATTGATTACCCGGAGGCAAAGGCTCTTGGTAGACTGTGTTTACAATTTACCCCCAAACGAAATGGAGCATGTGTTACGACCCATAGACACACGGGCAGCCTGGCTTGGGCGTCAACTGCTGAGAAACAATGTTGTCGATCGCGAAGTAGTCGCAGCTGCTGTTCCTGATCTTGGCTCTCCGGATTGCGACGCGTCGGTTTACTTCCTAGTCCGCTGCAACAGGAAGGCGGCGGAGACGTTCTACGACCTCGGATACAGACGGGTCGACGAACTTCGTGGAATGGGATGCACGCCGCTTGCGGCACTAGAGATACCGACCACGGCCGGATATCACGGTGAATACAGTGTCGTTGATCGCAGAGACGCCATGTCTCAATACCTCGCAATGTGTGCTTGGTACCACGAAAGAGGAGCTTCCCTTTACACCGATATAGGTCCTCTCACCCTATCTACGCCGTTACATCGGATAGCCCGCTGCATTGGGAGAGCGTTTGCCGATTTGTCAGTCCTCCACTGGCAACGGAGAGATGGGGAAAATGAAAGAGAGTGGCAGCGTCGAATCAGTATTCACTACCACTCCATTGTTAGGCCGCTGGCAGCAAGCTCCAGTTTCACATTTCTTAGGGCGCTATTGTTCGACGTGCAACATCACGAGCAGTATGCATGCCCATGTTCCCTAAATGGGCCGCTTCCATTTGATGTCCTGATCAATGAGACGGTGCACGGGGATTCGTCAGCTCGGAGAATAAACTTCATGGCTAGCGCTCTCTTGCAGTCGCAAGGATTGTGGGACAGAAGAGTGTCTGAACTCCCTCGGCATATAGTTTCGACCGTGGTCCGTGCCTGCACCTTTGCATGCCTCGATCTCAGGCATTCCTGCGGAACGCCGAACCCTTCAAGCTCCCGCCTAATAGGCGAAAGGAGCACTACCGACACAGGGTTGGACTTGGCGGTCTCGAAACTCCTGGTCAGGGCCCCGAACCGAGATTGGCGAATGGTTGATTGTCTCGAGGACTACTGGATGAGTAGCATGGAGGAGCTTCAGAACCTCGGCGCGCACACATCCACAGTTACTGACCATGGTCAGACATAATAGAACTTGAACCTTTATGTTAGGTACTAGCGGCGAGCTTATTATCTCGTTGAGTCTGCGAGATTTCATGTTGTTACTGGGTTATATTGTCTTCTATTCCCATTCATATCGATAGACCAATCGAAGGTCAGGCTTCCGGCGATGGCCGGTCACTCGTTAACAAACATCCTCAATCTTAACTTCCTTCCCATCATGCTGACCGAGGTCCAGCTTTAGTGTCCGCCCAAACAGCTCGAGAAGCATCTCGAAGCAAACCTTGCTAATGGCTGGATCGTAGCGACCCTTGCTGAGCTCGTCGCGAATGAAGGCGTCTGTTGTCGTGCGTTAGTTTCGCAGTCTTCGATGGGCGGGGAATGGGGAAAGGATGAGATGGAGAGAAAAAGCAAGCGGGAGACATACGCTGAGCCCAAGCAACCTCGTAGAAGCTAAATAGCACGCCCTTCTCATGGAGCGTAGACCGAATCAAGTCCCGTCCTTGCGGTGGAACGTGGGTGTCATTCTTGCCGAAGATCTATCACGTACCCGTTAGCCATACACCCACTAACCTTCTGAAAAGGGATAAACCAATAAGGGAAAACATACCATAACAAGCTCCCCTTTGATATCCCCCGCCCTCGCCAAGCTATCATCATTCTTCCCCGCCCCAAGCGTACGGCTATGGATATCCGTCGCGAAATAACAAACCGTCGCCTGCACGCGTGCATCAAGCGCACATCTATACGCAAGGTGACCACCAAGACACATCCCCGTCGCCCCGATGCGCCCCGTACACGTGGGCAGATCAATCAGATAGCTCACAGACAGCGCCGCGTCCTCGTCGTACGCGGCCAGCTTCTTGGCGACCTTCCATTCGTTCCCCTTGTCTGTGTCCTCGGCGTTGTAGGAGAGCGCTTCGGGGCCCGTGAACTCGTGGTAGCTAGATGGGGCGGCGACGATGTAGCCCTGTCCTGCGATTTGGCGGGCGAAGCGGGCGACGGGGCCGGTTACTGTTTTCCTCGGAAGTGTATTGTAAGCTATCTTTTTCTTTTGGGGGGCTGTTGGCTCGATCGAGGCGATGTTGAACGGGCTATGAGGGCGTGCGTACCCTGGTAGATCTCGCTGAACACGACTACACCCGGGAAGCGGGCGTTGGGGTACCCCGGGATGGAGGGGTGGAAGACGTATATTCCTGCGATGGTTAGCGGGCAGGATATATATTGCAGATAGGCGGAGGCGTACGCATTGAGCCATTGCCGTCTGCGGTCGTGGGGATATCATGGTGGTACTCTTTGATCAACATTTTGAGCTGATTCTATGTTGTTCAATTGTTGTTGAGTTGTTGGAATAGAGTTGAAGCTCTGAGCTTGATTGCGGGGTGCTGGCCTGCTGATAAGGATAAGAGAAGCCACGTGATGATTATAGTTTGGAATTTTTGTTAGACGTGACGTGACGTAGTATCTTCGCTAGCATATTGAACATAGATTATCGTGATTATTTTGGCTCCAGGGGCCATATTGGCGACATGTTTATATCTTCATATCAGTATACAAAAAGGAATATAGGCGTAACAAGCAGGTGCAGAAATGAAGACAATAGATACAGTGAATGGTACATATTAGTATGAGACCAGGGTGCGCGATATTTTAGCGGACTCGGGGTTTCAGGCGGCGCGCAAAACGAGATGGGCATTCGTTTGATAGTCTATATGCTGCAAGCACCGAGTAAGGGGTACGGAACCTTAGAACACGTACTAGGGGCGATTAGAAGACGTCCGAGCAAGTGGCATGGTGTACTTACAGGAATGAAGAGGTAGGGAACCTGTCTCTCATACTCTGTCCAAGCCTCGCCGTACTTGTTACGGCAGCGCTGAATATCTCGCAGAGCGCGGTGCGAAATCATGCAGGCGAAGAAGAGAGGGTAGAACCATGGGAAGGGGCTGTTGAAGCCAGTGATGAGGCCCCAGTTCAGCGCAAAGTATAGGTCGCAGGTGTAATGAATCTTGCGAGCCTTGCCGTCTGTGAAAGTCAGCATCATCTGTATAACTTTCAAGGGATATACGTACACCATCCGTCAACCAGGATCTTGGAGCCGTCCGCGGCCGTAATGGTCTTGGGGTTGTGGAGAGTCTGCCAGGGCAGCTGAGGGAAGGCCTTGCGGAAGACACGAGTACCACGCTCCATCTGACGGTAACGGTTCTTCTGGCTGTTGGTCGTGTCCCAGACCCAGTACACAAACAGGTAGGCAACGTAAAGGAAGACCAGGAAGTAGCGGTTCCAGTTGTAAGTGGCGGGGTCATGGTTGGCAAGGTAGATTGTGCAGTGGCAGTAGCTCAAGGGCACACCAGCCAAGTTCCAGAAAATCAGCATGAAGCCCCATTTCTCATAGTACATATCCCTGGCTTGTTAGTCAGACGTCTTCCCGGGACTGTCGGGTAACTTACCAGGTAGATACGATGCACTCCTCGCCCTTAGAGCAGGCGTTCGCGTAGAGGAAGTGCGCCATCAACAAGAATCCAACCTCTCCGGACACGTATCCATATACCTCCCACTGTCGCGCAGCCGTGCCCATGGTGACGAGCAGGAGAATATACCAAGGCAGACGGACCTCGAAGAACATCTTGAAATCCAGGATGCCAAACATGCGGGGGTTGAGCTCGGCGCCCATAAAGAAGTCATAGATAGGGGAGCCAGTCATGCGATGCTCGGCCCCACGAGCCAAGGCCGAGAAGTAGGCGACGAAGGCGACCAGAAAGCCAGACAGAATAGCAACGCTCATGAGCGGGCCAAACTCGTCAATGATGGTGTAGAGCTTGAAAAGGCCAGTAAAGTGAAGGGTACAGGCAATGACAATGGTAGTCCAGAAAGACCAGAGAGCAGAGCAGTAGTATGGCAGCTGCTTTCCGCCAAGGTGTGGCAAAGGCCGGCCCATGACCGTGATTCCAGGAACCACCAGATAGCAAATGCCTTCGAAAATGAAGAACACCCAGTACATGGTCCATGCCTTCAAAGACGGGAACGCGCCTTCGTATACGAGGTGTCCCATGTGCGCGAAGAATTGCGACATGTTCTGACCTTCTGACGGGCGAGGGAACTTGCCGTCATAGTAGGTCGCGCCAATCCACATGTAGTACATCAGGAGCGGAAAGCCGATCATCATAGAAAGAACTCCCGGAGATCCTCCAAATTCAAAGTGTCCGCTGTAGTCGACCTTGGGGTCTTTGCCCTCGACCCAGCCGTCAATGATTCGCTCCTCCTTGGTGGCGTGCCCGTTCGCGTGCCCATTTGAAGATTGTCCGTTGGCATGTCCATTGGCGTGCCCATTGCTTAGGGAGTGTTTGGCTTCTTCTCCCTCGGAGACCTCCTCGCTCTTGACTCTCGTGGTACGTCTGCGGGTCGTTGATCTCGTCCGGCCCCTTGTCTCCGTCGCTGAATCGGACACCTCCTCTGACGGCGCGACGCTGCTGCGAGTGGTCCGGCGGCTGCCAGGAGTCTCGACGTAGCCCGGGCGGTCTACTTTTCTAAGCGACAAAGACAAGTTAGCAATTGATCCCCGAGATAGCTCAGAAGTCAATCTAGAGATGAGAACGGAGTGGTTGTCGCGGGTTGCCCCTTAGAACAACATTGGAGACTTACTTGGGCGTCCTGCCCGTTTGAGAGCGGGTAACTGTCATGATTGCGTGAACATGCGAAGATTCGTAACAGTGGCTCTCGAAAAAGGAGTATGAGAAGGGAAAAGAAATGCAATTGTCACGGCGAAAAGGACAAGTGGGTGGAATTGTTGAGCGGAAGGACAACAAAAATAAAGCCGGGGAACTTTTAGCTTGACGATCCTTTAAGGGGCCAACAAATCAACAACTGCAGCCGATCTCCACACCAAGCAAGATCATTTACAGGCCTAAGCACACTTGCTGACAGGGTCTCTATAAGCAGTTTATGTTGTAAATTTCGTCTAGATTGAATAGTATATAATGTATGAATCGTAAATATGATGTTGACCGTCGACTCCTGCCCTCTACTCCCGATACACCGATGACGATTCCGCTGGAAGGATATAGGAAGAAAAATACAAAGTATAGGTAGTATAGCAAAGCCCAACGAGTTAAGCGCCGCGTTGGATATTCGTGGACATGAGTGTGATCTTCTTGTTCTTCTTTCCTTTCTTCTTTGCCTGCGAGGGATTAGTGTTCTCGTCCGCAGCTGTCTGGGCAATCAGCTCGGATTCCTGGTGAGCAAAGAGTTCTTCCTCCCAGCCTTCGCGCCACCCATCGCGTGGAGCAGGCCTCAAATGATCTGGCGGCCCTCCCGAGTGGGATGCTATAGCAGCGGTTCCCCAGACGGTGCGGGATCCCGGTGGGCTATTCGAAAGACTGGCCAACGCACTGAAGTGAGATGATGGGCGAGGGGGCGAGGCTGAAGACGCCAGCTCGAGATTTGTACCGTCACTCGCCAATGGCAGGAAGTCATGGTCGGAGAATGGCCGGTCATCGGAGCTAATGCTCGGCATCTTCTGGCGGGCAGCAGCCCAACGCTTCTCGTCTTCCTCTTTCTCTGCCCTGACGCGACTCTTTTCCTCGCGAACTTCCTTGTCCTTGTGTCGCTTCCGTCGTTTTCCGATTTCGGTGCTGAATTGCTCTAGAACATCTGGCATGACAACGTCTCTCCAGTCGCACTCGAGAAAATTGACCTCACAGCCTTGAGGAAGATGGCCGAGATACTTAACGCGTTTGCGCAGCTCGTCATCGACGATATGGCCAGTGGTTATGTGTTCAACGCGGGGTAGGATAGTTGCAGGGAACGTGGAGTATTCGCCAAATGCAGCTTTGAGAATCCGAATGTCCAGAGGAGAAAGGTAGTAGTGGGGTAGTGCTTGGTAAAAGAAGTATGGCTGGCCGGAAGGGTGAGGCGCGTTACCGCCCTTCTTCCTATCACCATCCCGGCCGGCCACGGGGTCCTTCTGCTTTTGATTTGTACCATTCGTCATACTCATACTACCCAATGCCTCTGTCGTCTGAGTCAAATCAGAACTGTCTGATTGCGGGCTGGGTGAGGATCTGCCTGACTTTGCGGCGTGCTGAGCCGTATACATGAGTGCAACTTCTTCTGGTGGCTGTTGAAAGGTAATAGGGTCTTTTGGTGGGCGGTTGATGGTTGACTGCGGTAATGCCTCAGGAGGGTTCCCAATTCCCTGCAGCTTTTGCTTGGCATCATTGATGGTTGACACAGCCTTTCTAGTCCATGTCGTCTCGTCTCCAAAGAGAACTTCATCTTCTTGCTCCTGCCGGCGCAAATCTTCAATTTCTGCGTCATACTGCGAAACCATGTAATCCTCTCCTCCTTTCATGATACGAGCGTAGTCCGCAACCTCAGCAGCATGGTACCAGGGAATGTCTTCTCCAGGGGCAAGGCTCTCAGCACCATCCCTGGGCAAAGCGAGGGTACTACCCGGCTCCCTCTTAACCAGCCTTAGTACCACATCACCTCCCTCAAGAGGAAGGTCTCCTTCCTGGCCGCTGAACCATCTTACGGGTCGCGTTTCTGAAATGTAAATGCTGTCCCAGCAGATAGGACACTTTTTCCAGCGCGCCTTTTTCTCTGGTATTGGTTTCTCATCGTCTGTCGAGTGCATAAAACGAATTAGACAAGGCAGACAAAAGATGTGCCCACATCGTGCCATTCGTGGCGCCACGGGCGTAGACAAGCAAATTGGGCAACTTGAAGACTGAGTCTGAGCCGACACGAGAATTTGAAGAACTGAGTCCCAGTCCAGGTGAACATCAGCATTAGCCGCCTGTGCATGATACGCTCGGTTTGGCGTCACGATGAATCGATAGTTTGCATGCACATAGCGAGCTTTGTCCATCGCATGGTAGCCGGAGCCAAGGCCCCATGAATTGTAGCGGCGCGGGTTTCGCGGCGGCGGATGGTATTCAGGTCGCGGGGGAAGAGAGAAGTTCATCAGATGGGTGATGGACGTTTGTCCTTTTCGGCTGGTAGCGGATCTCATGACGGTCTACATTGTCAGCCAAGTCAATTGATGCAGAGCAGGAACACTTACCGACTCATCAATTTCATCATCCAATAAGCGAGGACGCCTTTGCCGCCTGTGTTGACTCTTTAGAGCCTGGTTGTTTCGAGCAGAACTTGAGCTTCTCGACGCCAATCGCGCGCCGAAACTGCCCGAACCTCCGACACGTCTACTACCTGTATCAACCGCCGGCGCGGAGTGAAAGGTTGATGATGAGGATTTGTTTGGTATATTCACCGCCTTGGAAGTGGTAGGGGTCTGGCCAGAACTGGACGACATTGCTTGCGGAGCAACACGTCTGATTCCGGAGCGTTGGAGGCGAAGATTGATGAGGGGTCCAGTCACACTCCCCAAAGGCACCAACGATAGCGAAATGAGACACGTCAATCGCAAAACAATATGTTCGAGTAGGTCAATGATATACGTGACCCCGAGGGGCGACAGGAGAGGAGAAGCACCAGAAACCTGATCCTCCTCCGGCTCGAGGCGAGAAAAGGGACAAAAGCGACTGAGGGGCGAGACCGGAGGTATGTCATCGGGGCCTTGGCAGTGGGAGCCTCAGGCACGTGCCGCCCGCCGCAGGCTCGAAAAAAACATCATCTCAACCCAGTTTGGGGAACTCGTCGTTCTGCCGCTGCCCGTCCGTGGTCTTCCCTCATTGCCCCGTCCGCCCTCAAGGATTCGGACTATTTTTCTATCTCTTACCCATCGTAATCTGGTTAGTTGAACCTACAGTTTGTGCTCCGTGTCTCAACTTTCTCTTTCATCCCATTGTCTCTCTCCCTTCCGCGCACTCTTGGCTAACACACGACTTCGTCTCCCGCCTCTAGTCTTTCCGAGTCCGACTACACCATCCACGCTACACCGTCACAAAGTATCTGCGCCGGACGGATAATGGCAGCCTAGGAGGCTTATCCTCCGCCTCGAATTTCTCCCTCAACCCTCGTATGGCTCCCATCGAGGCAACGCGTGGCTGAACTTGTCAAGACGGCTCTCTTCCGTGCTTGGACATGATGAACCATCATCTGCCCGCAATGCCCCATGGGCAGCCACCCATTCCTGCGCCTCGGCGCCAGCAGGACGTTCCCTACGTGAGTGGCCCTCCCAACATGCGGTCGCCCCCGGCGTACATGGGATATCCGCCTCAGATGAACGGCCATCCCCCTCCGGCTGCCTACTCCCCGCAGCAATACCCCCAGTGGTATGCACCTTTTCCGCCGATGCAGATGCCGCCACGTCCACACTTCAATCCATATGCACCGGCCTTCATATCATCGTATCCCCCTTCGCAGCCGTTGATGGCTCCAGCTCATATGCCGCCACAACCGCTCCCTCTACAACCCAGAGCTTCAACTCCGTTCCAGAACCCGATGTCCCCTTCTGTTGGCCCGGCCCCTGCATTTGTCCCGTCGCAGGCACAGTCCCCGGCCCCTACATTTGTCCCATCGCAGGCACAGTCCCCTGTGGTTCTTCCAGTCCACACACCTAGCCCGGCCACGTCGTCGTCTCCTGCTCCCGCGCCGGTCAATACCGTTTCGCCGCCCAAAGAGCCTTTCCGAGCTCCGGTACGTATTTCTCCATCTTGATCTTGGTTTGGTTACTGATGCGTAAGTAGCTTCCGTGGCTCTCAATCCCCGACAGCCCTTTCCCGGCCCGGGCTCCCCGCAGACATCGAAAGGCCCGCAACCTACAGGCCTCCTCTCTCTCTGTGGAGCTTCCTGCCAAGGATGGACAACGTTCTTATAGGGGGGGACCGGCCAAGGCTCAGGAAACCCAGGCACAGACACCTTCCGAGCCACAGACGCCTACTTTGTCGGCTGCTCCCTCTGTTGCCGATTCCACCCAGCCTACGACACCTTCTTCCGCTGTGCCAAGCTCCTCTGCCCGTCCGTCGAAGGGACCGAAAACAGCGGGCCCTATTGTGCCAGTGGTTCCGGTCATTCCCGCTCCAAACACTCCTCGCCGCGGCAAAGCTGATGCTGGTTCTTCTGAAACACCCAAGTCAACCTCAGAAGTTATCAGTACGCCCGCCGAGACGCCAGATGCAGCTCCAGAGGAACCGGCTGACGACAAGCCTGTAGAGCCTGTCAAGCCTGCGGCACCAAAGTCCTGGGCGGACTTGGTCCGACACAAAAACCTTGCTCGCAACGCAGCTAGCCAGAGCGCTTCATCCGGTGTGGTCAATGGCATCGCAAAAAGCCAGACTGTTGCGGACGTTATAGTCAACTTGGGTGATGATGTTTCTCAATACAGCGACAAAGTGTCTTTCCTTGAACCCCGGGGCCTTGTGAACACTGGCAACATGTGCTATATGAACTCGGTACTTCAGATTCTGATTTCATGCGTGCCTTTCTATCAATTCATGGATCACATTGGGAAGCGAGCGTCCCACAGTTTTCATAGTGATTTTCCTATGGTTGATGCTTTGATTATGTTCATGAAGGAGTTCCGGGTCATTGATGCTGCCCACAACGAAGAACAGCTGCGGATGAGGCTCAAAGCCAACGAACTCGAGCAATACGGAGAAGCTTTCATTCCAGAGTTTGTGTACGAAGTCATTCGCCAACTGCCGCGTTTCCGAGACATGCGGCGCGGTCACCAACAGGATGCGCAGGAGTTCCTTGGTTTCCTTCTGGAAGAAATGCACGAGGAGTGCGCTCGCGCTGCCAGTGCCAAGTCATCCACAGAACCCGCTCCTGAGAATGAGAATGGCGACGGTTGGTTGGAAGTTGGCCACAAACAAAAGCCTGCCGTCACACGGTCGTCTGGCCACATCGCCTCGGAATCCCCAATCACGAAAATCTTTGGCGGCAAGATTCGGTCTGAGTTCCGCGTGCCTGGTAACAAGGCTTCTGTCACTCTCGAGCCGTACCAGCCGTTGCAACTTGATATTGGTGCCCCTGACATCAACAACATCGTGGACGCACTGAAGGGTCTGACCAAGCCAGAGAGCATTCAAGGCGATTTCAATTCTTCCCGCGGCCCGAATGTGACCGCAACCAAGCAGGTCTTTATTGAGAGCTTGCCTCCTGTCCTCATCCTTCACCTCAAGCGGTTCCAGTACGATAGTGTCACCCATGGCACGCAGAAGATCTGGAAAAAGGTCGGGTATCCTCTCGACTTGGAAATCCCCCGCGAGGTGTTTCCGCCTCACAAACGTAACGTCATGATGGCTCAAGGCGGGCTTCCGAAGTACCGACTTACTGGTGTCATCTATCATCACGGCAAGAACGCCAGCGGTGGTCATTATACCGTTGATGTTCGCCGCCAGGAGGGCCGCGAATGGATCCGCCTCGACGACACTGTCATTCGTCGGATCAAAGCCGAAGACGTAGCGGAAGCCGGTGGGGAAGAAGACCCGAAGGTGCTGGCTGCGGCATTGGAGCAGCACAAGCGTGACAAAGACACAAAGAATATCTATGATCATATTGATCAGGGCGATCAGTCCGACGATGAGCGTGGCTGGAGCCAGGTTAACGGCACTGGTTCAGGCCACTCGAGCAAGAAATCGATGTCCGCTGTCAACAGCACCCCCAATCAGTCCAACACATCCTCTGGCGTTCGTACCCCGCTAGGACGGTATGGAACCCGCGATAACAAGGTGGCGTATCTATTGTTCTACGAGCGCATTCCATGAGTCAACGTCCCGTTCAACCGGGTATGCTGAAAGCCTAGACGGCAAAAGCGCGTTCGCCCAAACCATCAGTTCATCGTCAATCCTCTTCAACCCGCAGATCGTGCAATCTGATCAGTTGCTCGAAACCACATTGAATCATCATGAACCTATCATCCGACTTGATAACATCAGACTTCATCCTCGAAAACCAGTCTCATCGGATGTTGCTTTACCTCATCCCGTTTCCAACCCCGCTATTTGTTCATTTCCTATTTCTGCCAACTCTACGCCCTTATCCTTATGTGCTCCTTTTTATGGTAGCTACTTGCTATCTTGTTCATTTCCGCCATCTACCGTCTGATATGGTATGCTTCTTTGTCTCTGTTTTCGATGCCGTATCTGGTGGATGCGGATGCCGCTCTGATATATACCCGAATTTCCTCGCATAGCCCTTTGGTTTACCCCGCTTGCGGCAGTCTATGCACCTGCTTCTGCTGTGAGTGGGACGGGATTATAACGACCTGCATGAATTTCCTTTGATAGATGTGCGTGTTATCAAGAGCGTCGTTGTTGCTGTTGCTGTGCTGTCGCTGTTGCTGTGTCGTTGATGTTGCGAGACGGATCATCGCTACTTGGAGGGTGTCCCTATGTGTTGGGTGTCAGGAGGCGGTCATGGTTATGTTTCTCTATGCTTATATTAATGGTGGGCCTTGTCCTGGTCCGGTGGCTGGGGACTGGGATGGGTTGGCTGAGCGGAGGGAAGAGTATATGAGGGGATGTGAGGTACAAAAGCTTGCTTAAATAAAACACTTCCGCTGAGATTTTCCCTCCACCTGTAATAGTAGCGGATTGGTGTGGCAGAAGACTACAGCAGGCCGTGGCCATAAACTGCAGCTATTCTTCACGTCACAGGTTCACCTCCAACATTCCATCTCCATGATCATCTAACTTCTGCATCCGGAGACCTTACCATCAGCAATGTCCACAAAGCTAGATCAGCTTACACAGGATCAGAGCCTGGCACTGAACCTTCAAGACACAGAAACCTACATCCACCCCGCCCTAATTCAAACGGACCTCTCCCCAAAAGGCCGCGCGCTGGTCGTGATAGCCCCAGTCCCCGCAGGAACAGTGCTAATCGCCGACACACCGTACGCCGTAGTCCCAACAGTTCCACCCGATAGGAAGGACGAGGGAGTTATCTGCAGTAATCTTCTCTGCCGGGCTCGAGTCCCTCGAAGCGGAAATGCAGCTCACTGTCCCAGGGCCTGCATGCTCGACGTCCTCTGGTGCAACACGCACTGCCGGGATATGGATCAAGCAAGACACAACTTTGAGTGCTCCTGGTTGAAGAGATATGGAGATGAAATCCGGCGGAAGACAGGACAAGACGATTTGGTGCTCTTGTGGATTGTTGTGAGGATGCTGGCTGCAGGGTTTCTTGAGCAGAATACTACCGCTGAAGTCAACCATGCGCAAAAAGGTGGAGCGAAAGGCTCCAGCTTCCCCTGGGAAGACCGCTTTGAGCGCCACTGGATGGCTATTGAGAGCATGCGGAGTAATCGCGAGCACTGGCCGCGGACAAAGATCGAGCACTGGCGATACCTAGTCAAAGAGTATCTTAGTGACAATCAGCTCCTGCCGGGCCTGCTCGACTCAGATGATATGTTGACTCTCATATGCAAGGCCATGGTCAACACCTACGATCTCTACGACGCCCCTACCGGACCTGCCGAGACCCAGCGGAAACAGGGGCCGGCGTATGGACTGGGTGTCTACCTGCGAGCTACGTGGGTGAATCATTCCTGTCTGCCCAATGTGCGCCCTCTTTCCTAACCATAGCAGGGGACATGCTAATAAAGATTAGATCCAACATGGCCCCGACGCCAGCGGGAGGATAGTCCTAACGACGACGAGGGATTTGGCCGCCGGTGAAGAGTGCTTTATTTCCTACTTCAACCTCACAGTGTATACGAATCTCAAGGCAAGACAGCAGCGGACGATGGACCTTTTTACGTTCGCTTGTGCATGTGAGCGGTGTTTAAAAGAGGCTGCTGAGTCGGGGGCATATCTGCCTAATTTGCATGCTACGTGAGAACTGGAATGCCCGGTTAAAGAAGTTACTCCAGGTATACAGCTACAAGCACCGTGCAAGCTTTGTAGACTGGAAATAGGTGGTGAATCCTTATTTTTATAGAATGGCATTCCTCTTGTTTCCAAACTTGATGGTCACGTATTCTTGCCGCCGGTCCATGCTGTTTTTTTTTTTTTTTTTTTTTTTTTTTTTTTTTTTTTTTTTTTTTTTTTTTTTTTTTTTTTTTTTTTTTTTTTTTTTTTCTTGCAGCCTGTTTGTGGTGTACTGGTGGGTTCTACTGACGACGGCGAGACTTGATTATGGGGATTAAGTCAACACTAAAAGCCAGTGGGCTGCTTAAAGATTTAGGGAAGTTCAAGCTTTATGGTTCATGCAGATCGAGCTGAAATACAGTTACTTCAAGAGAATCGGCTGATCGACGTAGGTATTCTCGATGGCTTTCACAGGCTCAGACTCGGATGGCGGTTTCATACCCCTCTCCCTCCCTTAGACTCCGTTATCATTCGTCTTTCTTCATACCCACACCTACCAGTTTACCACCATGACCATATACAATGTGTACGTCATGTATGGACAAGCCGCCGATGAGGAAAATGACAGGGAGATGCCAGGGTGCATTGTCTATCCCGATGATTCGGCAACAGCTGCCGCGGGGTCGAGGATGAATGGGCAGGTGTGAGTTCAGACTCTCGTCCCGTCTTTGCCTTTATTAACTGGTAAACTAGAGGCTTGTTGGGAAGCGTGTCCGGATCACGAGTTCCAGGAATCCGTATGTCTGGCACATGCCGAACAGGACTCATTGTCAAGGGAGAGCGTAAAGAGGTCTATTTGGTGGCATGCATGGGGCACAGGACCTATCTGCACTGGTTAGTGCTGTGATTGTACATGAAAGCCCTACCAAGCTAGATAGGAGATTACAGAGTGCATCTTGGACAAGTCCTGCTTGCGGGAATACTGATAGCTGATTGAGTTCATACATACTCTGTAGATATGCTACAAATCCTAGTTACGGTAGAGTCATTGAGGTCCACTTCCAACGAATCAGTACCTACGTACTACCTACTTATCCTCCTCCACTTTCCTGCGTCCACGCTTGGGCCAATGCCTAAAATTATGCCAGGAGGCCCAGGACTGACTGGGTCGCCAATCACTGCCAATTGGCGTTCAAACTTGCAGTATCAAAGACTGATCTAATTGGCTGGCAGCATGGGGCCGTTTTGTTAGTCTTCTTCTTCAGGCTTCAGCCATCCTTGGCCTGCGGCTCAGCACTCCACACGGTCAAACCGCCAAAGTCATGGTATTTGAAGAAATCTGCTATATGACTACCTCCTTGCTCATTCCTCATCATGCTCATGTTACTTTCTTTTCCCAGGCCGATGCCAGGGCTACCTGACCAGCACCAAGAATGCCTAAGGTTTCCACCCTCAGCATCTTCAAACTCATCACTCTACGACGAAAACACGACCTATTGCCACTGAAGGACGATAATGTGGATGACACCAAACTGCCAGAGCCCCACAAACCTGGCAGGTTTGCAGGATGGAAGGGGACACTATATCTCGGCTCCATCGCCGCCTTTACAGCCCTGATCCTCAACCTGATCATGGTCTGCTGGGCTTCAACGCGCCCGCGACATTCAGACGAGGGCGGGTCGGTCCTATATGCAGGCGACTGTAATCAAACGAAGCATATCAGCACGGGCATCCATCTTGTGATCAATATACTGAGTACCGGGTTGTTGAGTGCGAGTAATTATGCGATGGTATGCTTGCTCTCCGTTTCAATCATCCAACTGCTAACGCTGACACTGTTAGCAATGTCTAAGTGCGCCAACCCGACAGGACGTGGACCGCGCCCACGCGAAGAACAAGTGGCTCGATATCGGTGTACCAAGCGCACGGAATCTCGTTAGCATACCGACGCTGCGATCGATGCTCTGGTTGTGTCTTGTTGCTTCCTCTGTGCCGCTGCATCTATTGTATGCTTTGCCTCCTCCTATTTGAAATCAGACCTAACTTGCCAGTTACAACTCGACGGTCTACTCCACGATATCTGCAAACGGATACGATGTCTTTGTTGCGAACTCGAGCTTTACCTCCCTCACGCCCTCCGATGTATCGACAGTCTATGACCAAGAGGGAATGAAATGGGATGGGAACGGTTACGTCTCCGCGATGAGCATCATGTCGTGGGCACAGGCCGGGAACCTGACGCGGATGACGCCCGAGGAATGTATCTCGGCGTATGCGACATCGTGGCAATCCAAGCACGGCAGTGTAGCTCTCATCAGCAGCGCATTCAACGGCTCGATGTCTGCCATCCAGCTCCTTGAACGGCAATTGGCGCCCTGGGTCGGTGATAGCGAAGAGGATCCCTTTGGGTGGATATGCGATGAACAGCCGAGCCTTACCGGGACTCCAGCTCCAGACCACCGCTGCCAATACTACGTCGGTGAAGTGAAGTCCAAAGCTGGCTCAAGCTGGGTGGTCAGGGGGTACGAGGTTGAGTATTGTCTCGTCCAGAAAACCACGGAGAAATGTACGTTGGAGTTCAGTCTGCCGTTGGCGATTGTGGTCATTACGACGAATCTGGTCAAGGCTGTCTTGATCGTCCTGGCGAGTTTTGTCCTGGGTGTAGCTCCGCTGTTGACGGTTGGGGATGCGATTGCCTCGTTTCTGAAAGTGCCGGATGAGTCGACAAGGGGGAGATGTCTTCTCACGCGAGATATGGTTCTAAAGGAGAGACGACGGCTGTTGACGTACCAATCCTACTCCCCTCCACCAAGCCCCCAAAAATACAGCTCCAGACGAAGACGCCGATGGTCCTCCTTATCCACAGCCCGATGGATATTCGCTATTTTCACGTAAGCCCTCCACGCCCTACACAATGCCCCATCTAACAACCCCAGATCTATCTCCTCAATTGCTGTCACCCTCGCCCTCCTAGCCTACGGCTTCCACCGCATAACCCTCACCTCCTCCACCGACGGCATCTGGACATCGGGCCTCGCAGTCGTCGACACCCGCACAATGATCAACACAATAAACTGGCCCTCCAGCCTAATCATCAACACGCTCATCGCCAACACGCCCCAGCTCATCTTCTCCGCCTTCTACTTCACCCTCAACAGCATCCTCACAACCATGGCCCTATCCACGGAATGGAACGCCTTCTCCATATCCCGCAAAGGACTCCGCGTCTCAACACCACCGCAGGGTTCCCAGCGCACGACGCATTTTCTTTCCCTGCCATACCGCTATAGTATCCCGCTCCTCGGGGTCTCGGCGATCCTGCACTGGCTCATGTCGCAGAGTATCTTCCTGGTAAGGGTGCTGGCGCGAGACTCGCACATTGTAAGGTTTGGGAATCGAGATACAACAACGATTGGGTACTCGCCGCCGGCTATTGTTGCGGGGCTGTGTGTTGGTGTGCTTCTGCCGCTGGGCGTGTTGGGGTTTGGCGCGCGACGGTTCAAGTCGGGTATGCCTGTTGCCGGAAGCTGTAGTCTTGCTATTGCGGCTGCTTGTCATCCTAGGGTGGAGAAGGGAGGCGACGGTAAGGATGGGCTGGGGATTGAGTACGCACGGTTGAAATGGGGTTTTGAGGTTGAGGCTGGGGAGACAGGACACTGCACGTACTCCGCCTCCCCGGTTTATCTACCTGGGGATGGCGAGTTGTATCAATGAGCTACGGAAATCTGACTCGTTAATCGTGGAGGAACTCCTGATAGCCGGATGATGCATCATAGCGTCCGAGTCTGCTGTATCCTGTTAACGGGAGAAGAGAGGCCGTGCGCTGTTATGGCTGCTTACCCCAGCCCTAGCCCAGGGATCAGGGCTACGCTGACTTAAAACTACACTTCTGTACTGGTCCTCTTGGTTTACCGCTTATCCGAAAAGTATTACACCTACCCTACCAGCCTCGGGATTTGTTAAATGTCATAGAGTCCTTCCTAAAAGCTACACCTCAAAGAGTGCTATTGTACTTGGCATTGCTGTGATGGCGTGGGGTTGCAAAGGCATTGCAATTGTCCATGGTCCATTCGAGCCCTTCTGAAGGCGCAATGGGTTCTGCACCTACGATGTTGAATGGCCTGTGTATGACTATTTTGGTGAAGGCTTTCTTACACTTGTCAAACTTATCCTCCTAGCGTGAACAAACAAAAGCCGAGGTGGAGGTCATCCAGCAAACACATAGTCATGTCTACCCAGTTATGAGCAGGTCCATGCATGTTCAACAGCCTCGGCCATTTACAAGAGAAGGGCACCTAGATGACGAGGGTGAAAGCGCTCTCATTCTCTAAGGATCTGAGATGAGAACTCGCTTAGTACTAGTAGTAGGTATCTATCGTGGGTCTAGGGTGGGTCACGTGAGTCTGACGTCGCTGCCAACCCAACACCAGGATAGATTTGGTTTTGATCATTGATCAGAATATGTCTAACGGATGGCAATGGGAGGACCTACAAACTTTAGGGTGCTTTGAGTGTGTGAACACTATAAATCAGGTCTCGCATCAATTACCTGGCATATCTCTGTCCTTGTAATATTATGCCTGACTACGATAGTAATTTGCCCTCAACAGGCCGTTCACGCACATCTCCATTACTATCATACCATCCCCTTCTACCTTTCCAATATCTACAACACTTCTCAAGCTCAACCAGTTTCTAACGCTAATCGCATTCCCCCCGACAGCATCTACGATAACACCCACCCGCTACTGTTAGCAATGCGTGATTTCGGCAGTTGTGTCGAGCTTGTAGCGGCCGATATTCTAGGCAACGAAAGGTGTGGGCGGAATAGCTCGGAAAGCATCGATGACTCAAAGTAAAAAGCTTGTGCGGTGGACGGTTCGGAGTGAATGCCCGGGGGGCGAAGTATATCTGACTCAAAGAAGGGTTAGTTAGTATCATGCTGTCTCCGGGCCTCTTCTTCCATACATTTGGGCATCAATTCAATCATCGTGGTTGTAGCGGAAATGAACACGACGTCAGTTCTCGACATCCCAGAGCTTCTGGAGACGATCCTTCTCCATGTCGAGATACGAACCTTGCTCGTCTCCGCCCAGCGAGTATCACGGACTTGGCGTGCCCTCATCAAAGCCTCTAGCCCTCTGCAAGAGAAACTATTCTTCAAGCCATCGAAGCCCATCGGCAACCGAGTGCCACTTCGAAATCGGAACCCGTTTTTAGAGACTGATCTATGGCCTCTCCTGCATGCTCTGGAAAGAGTCCATCGGCACGAGATATCCTGCATCGGTCAGCGAGAACAGGAATATCTTTTTCATGAAGAAGCTAGCTGGAGACAGATGCTGCTCCAGCAGCCCCCCACCTCGACATTAGCGGTTATCACATACCTGACGAGCCATCGATCGATGTCTACTCATGCCCATTGTCACTTGAATGATGGGGATCTTCGTATGCATGATCTGGAGCGGGGAGTCAAGGAACTCGCACTAAGCGTGGACAAACACGCAACTTGGACTTGGAACTCGAATCTGATGTTGGAGATATTGGCTTCGCTGGAAAGAGAATCAATGGTTAAAGCTTTGTCCCAGGAGCAGGACTATGATCTGGTTCTGTTCACTTCTGGACAGCGGCAGCAGAGGTTTCTGGAATCACTAGGAAAGTTGGAAACCAAAGAGGTGGAGTATAATATCCCACCAATTCCCAGGGCTTGTTTGATCAATCAAAAATACCGCAAGTGGAAAGAGAAAAGCCCGAGGGGGACTCGGCTCGATTACTGCTAGTGCGTCAGGCCCCGTTCTGTTGTGTTGTGTTATGGATGGCTGATCTCAAGTCTTAACTAGCAACTCTCCCTTCAACACTCCTCCTACTTATACCGTTCCCTCCATTTCCCTTGGTCTTCCAACCATTCACTCCCTCAAAATGTCGTCCTCTCACGATCTCCGCAAGAAACTGTCAATGACCTTTTCCGCAATCTCGCCTTTCCGCATGATGAAGTTGATGGCCAAGTTTGTGGCGAAAGCCAGAGGCCGCCCAGAGTTCGAGCACGAAGTGGCTGAATATGACGCACTCAAATCCGACCACCACACAGTCGCTGTCGGAGACCTCACTGAAAAAGATGTGGAAGAGACTTACTTTGGCATTAAACAAGGCGGGACAACGACGCTGTGGCAGTTGCACGAGTCGCAAAAACGAGAGATACCTCAGTTGCTAGGTAAGTATTTTCTGTTCCATGACTCTCCCTCTTTAACACATTGAATATTAGATCAGGTTCTAGCACGCTTTGATAGAGCCACCAAGCGCTCCATCAATAACGAGGCTCTCATCCATGGTAGACTCGCGGCGATACTCCTCCTTACCCTTGCAGACGAGCAGGATCTCCGCGAGCCAAAATCCCCCGCCCAGGGTGCTTCCACCGACAGCAGAGCCTCGATGGATCCCATGAGCTCTGTGTTTTGGTCTTACGAAACTTATCTCTCGATTGATGTTACAGTCGCTGACCAGGTCACTACCATCCATGGTAATTCCGATTACACCTTGTTTTACGGGGAGCCCAAATCCACGGAGACAAACCTTGTGTGTGTGGAGGCCAAGAAGAAAGGATCCGCAGGCGAGGGTCAATGGCAGCTCCTTGGCTATATGTGTAAGATTATGTTCTTGCAATCCAATACTAGGGGCTAACACACTGTCAAGCTATAGTTCATCGCACCCGGGAAGCTCTCGGAAAGGCAAAGAAGGGAGTATACGGCCTTGCGACTGATTCCTTTGAGTTCCAATTTTACTGTATTCAAGAGGACAGTACGGTATGTATACCCAGCCGGCCTCTTGCTCTTATATGATGCTGTGCCTAACTGGTCCAAATACAGTGGTCCAGGAAAACCTTGTACTGGGGCCATACCGAAGATGAAAATCGTCTCATCATCTCGTACTTGGCCAGGATCCTGAACGACGCCGCCGCCCTCTCGCCGTCAGCTACTAGAGCATCCGCCAATTTGCAAAAGCTACTGGAAGAGCCTAGGAAGTTCAGTGTCCCTAGCGCAAAAAAGAAGCGTAAGAGTGGTCAAGCACCCATTGACGAGGACGAGGACGAGGACGAGGACGAGGGCGAGGGCGAGAGCGAGGGCAAGGGCAAGGGCAAGGGCAAGGGCAAGGGTAAGGGCAAGGGACGCAAGTGAAACAGGAATCGGATGGTTCCGTTGTTCCAGTGAATGTTCTTATTGCCTTGACTGCTCGTGGTGCAGGGCAAGCAGACTAAGTAAATGTTAGGAGCGCTATAGCCTCATTGTTGAGATGATCTGCGCATGCATCTGTGATGTAATCTTTGAGTCCACTGCAGCACTGCTAAGGCTTCGCATAATGAGACACTTATTGTAGGGTCTATTGTTCGTCGCCCATTTACAATACCTACGCACAGACCTCGGGACTTCAGACATGTATGCTTAGAGATGATAGATGCCCTTACTAAAGGTAAAGGATAAACAATGTAGCTAGAAGTCTCTTATATTGCTTTGTGTACTAAAAGCCAGTTCTAGAGTTAGATAAAAAGTTTTATATCGGCCACCGCTAGAATATTAGTAGTAGCCCGGGCCCTGGTGGCCCTAGGGCCCGGGGGTCTCAGGCACCTACTTCCAGCAGCCCTAGGGTGTCCCAAGAGCATTACTTCATATCCATCGACATCCCCTTCTGCTACCACTTCAGGTCCTACAGCACCTCTCAACTTCAGTGGGACATACAATGCCACTACAAAACCGCCAAGCACATCAACTCCAAAGCCCATCAGCAAGCAGCTACTCGCTCCTCGCCGAATCCGCTTTCGTCTCCGTCTTTAACACCAGATTCACGGGCCTTGCCGGCTCCTCCCCAGCACCCGATCCAATCCTTGCGTCAGAAGAGGGCGACGCGGAACGAATAACGCTCCGTCCAATCTGGAACGCCAAAGGCTGCGGCGTATGCGAGCGGCTCGCAGTGGTAGGAAGGGAGGTATCGTGTCTCCTCGTGCGACGGCTCGTAGTCTCAACGTGGTCATGCGTCGCCGTGCTGTGTGTGTGCTGATTGCTGGTGAGCGGGATTGGTTCGTCGTTGGTGCTGGTGCTGATTGCCTGCGAGATCGTGCGCGGCAGGTGGTAGCCAGCTTTGGCGAAGGGAATGGAAAGGCCGTGCACGACTATGCTGCAGATGACGAGGAACCAGACGACAACTTCGATGGTGTCGGAGACTTGCTGCGCGTCGGCGCGGACTTCCTCGTTGACCGTAATGTTGGCCAGGTACTCCCTGCTCACGGAGAGGTAGAAGATTGCGCCGACTCCGATGGGACCGAAAAAGCCGACGAATGTCGTCTGGAACAGACTTTCGATCTGGTCGATGTACTTGTGCATGGCGAAAATAATGGGCATGCGGCGGACAAGCAGGATGAGTATTCCGAGGGGGATGAGGCGGTAAATGGGGATGACGTTATTTTCCAGAAAGAGGTGCCATGGACAGACGGCTCCGAACCACATGAAGACTGCCAAGTTGAGGAGCATATCAATAGTGGGCTGAAGCGAGTCGTCCATTGTCTCGAGGCGGAACCAGTCACTATTCGGTCAGCTTAACAGCAATCAGACGTTGATGGGAGGCGTACTCTTGCGTAAAGACATTCCCTGCAACGAAGCAAGCCAGGAGGTCATCTGTTCCGATCAATCCGCAGGTTCCAACGATGAAAAGCTAATCGCGGTCAGTTTCATTCAGCATCGCCGGCGGCTGCAGATGCTTACCGCAAGAGCAATAGCAAACACAAGGAAGCTCTCCCGGTCCACGTAGTGCTTCTCCTCCGCCCAATGTAGCAGTTCCCTAGATATCCAACCAACAGTGACTCCGTAACCAACGCTTAACAGAATGGTGTAAGCCCAGGTCTCGTAGAACCACAAGCCCATAGCTTTCCCTGCACCCCCGCTAAATCCCTCACCACCCATACCAGTGTACTGGATGAGGTAAAGAGCGAAGAAAAGAAAGGGATACCCCAGCCCATCATTCGCCCCCGACTCGGCAATGATAATCCGCTGCAGCGGCTGAGGAACATTCTTATCTGCAAACTTGCCCTTGACAATCGAGTTCGAAAGCACAGGATCAGTCGGTGTAACACAGGCCCCAACAGCAAGCGCGTGCAGAAACGAAAAATTCGGAACCAGGGCCCAGATCACTAGAGCGCTGCACATCCACATGGCGGCCATTCCAGGCCCCAGCAGCAGCGAGAGGCTCTTCCATTCGAGCTGCAGGTACCGCTTCGGAAGCTGCACGCCGGCTAGGACGAGCTGGACGCCGAGAACCAGCCTTGTGAAACACAGCGTGATCTGGTCTAGATTTTGGTCCGTGCCAAGCGCGTAGTCGAGCGGTCGGATGAAATTGGCCGCATGCGGGGAGAATGCTACTCCGGCCAGCAGTGAGATCACTGTCTAATTAGTGGAGGAATTGATAGCCAGAAGGTGGAGTACGAACAAGCCTCGGAGAGATAAAATCTCTCTTTGAACAGGTACGAGACCAGACCGAAGATGGAGATGAAGCCTCCCAATGTCGCACAGACGATGTTAAAGTTGATCAAAGATAACGTGGGCATGGTGCACAACCCCGCAATTCAATCGGTATGTATATATATGATACAAAATCCCGGAGCTGAGCAATTAGCAGAATTCCCCGATTGCTCGACTTCCAAGACTCACGGAAGATGGAACGGTCAGGTTATTGCAGGCGTGTGTTATTCAATCATTCTAAGGAGCCGGAGTTTCAAAAGTTTGAGGACCAAACTTTGTCTCATCGAATATCTCAAGAGATACGAGTGCCTATAAAGAATATGGATGATGATCTGGAGCCAAGATAGATCTGACTGGAGCAACGTGGTGGGAGAAAAAGTCTGGATCCCGGGCACTCAAAACTTGGAGCTTGACCTGCTTGGCCTGCTTGGCCCTGGATGACTCAACCGGGAACCCCGAGCCGATAGCCGCGATAAGCTTGTAGTTTTGAATACATATTAATCGACACACTTGATGCTTGCAGATAAATGATAAAAGATACAGTCGCTTGTTATGCAGTCCCGTTTCTACTCAGAAGTCTCATCATACGCCCAGCTCCGACATTCCCCTTTGCGCTCCATTCACCGCGAGACGATCAGCTGCTTCATTTCCAGGATCCGCAGCATGTCCCTTGACCCATTCGAACAGAGTCCTGACTCGGAGCTCCGCACGCTCTTCAATCTTGCTCAGGATAGACTCAACTAGGTCCTTATTCTCCACGGGTTTTTTGTCCGCCGTCATCCAATTGTTGGTTCGCCACTTTTGGAACCACAGGGTCACGCAATTGATCGCATACTGACTGTCAGTGACAATGGTCACATCTCGGTGTCGGGGAGCGATGTCAAGAGCGCGCAGGATCGCTGTAAGCTCGGCGCGCTGGTTCGTTTGACGGCTGCCTTTGAGAGGCTCTGAGACGTTTCTGCTGGGGAAAGGCTCGTTAGTAGGTATTCACTTATCATGTAGGGGAGACAAACCGTGAGTCGCCGGGTCCAAAGTACACCCCCACACCGGCCATTGCTTGCACTCTTCCATTCTTCAGCGAACTACCATCGGTATAGATACGAAGCATCCCTGGCGGACCTTTCGGTTGGGTCTTGGTAGCGGCTTTCTGCTCTTCTGACTTGTAAACAATCTTGCCAGTCTTTGGATCGAGCAGGACGTTGGGATCAAATCCATCCTCCGCACCGGGGGGTAAGGGACCCTCGCCCGGCTCAAACGTGGTCCCTTGCTGATCTTTCGGTGCATCGCTGGTCAAGCCGGGGGCCCCGGGCAGCTTTGTGTCTGTAGATGAAGCGAACTGAACGGGCTGTCCGCCTAGTTTCACAAATTCTTCCGCTTCCTCTCTGGTGGAAAACTTCTTGTAGCGGGGTTTCTGAAAACCTCTTATTTGATCTTGCGCATTGGCCCAGTTGGTGTACACCCCTGGTTTGTGTCCTCGTTGGATCGCGTAGAATCTCGTCGGCTCCGCGCTTAGCGGCGACGCGCCCCGCGACGCCGGAGGTTTGGCGCCGGTTAAAAATGCGTTCGCCTCTTCGATGCTCGGAAACCCTTGAACTAATGAGAACCGGAAGTTATTGACTGATCTCAGATATTGAAAGCAAAGGGTGCTTCTCCGTCATGATCACTCACAAACTGCGCCTTTGAAGCCCGTCACCTGGGCCAAGCAATCTTTCCACTCATAGTAGATGCCCGGCTGATATCCCGCTTTAACAGCATAGTATTTCCCAGCAGAGCCTCGCTTGCGTTTGGTACCAGCAGCCGCGGGCGGCGACTTTGATTTTGTGGCGGCGGGACCTGGTGTCGGAGAAGGTGTGGGCTCGTTCATGTTGCGCGGGGAGGGAAGGGCGGGGAGAGTATTTTCCGCCGTGGTCAAACAGGAAAATGGCGACGAGAACGCGATGGGAGGTAGGACTGGAAGAGAAGCCGGCCTTAGTCGGGTCGTGTGAGAATTTTCAAGGGCGAATCGAGGGATAGGAGGATTTCCTGGCCTGCAGCTGAAAAGGGAACCCCTGGGCCCCAGCTGCGGTAAGCTATACGGACGCGTGGTGGAATATGGGATAGAAACACTGGACTCGTCGATGGAATAAGGAAGAGGAGAGTCTGGTAGTGGTCGATTGAGAAAGGGCGCTGCAGAAAAGTTGGGGCGGAGGGGTGGAGGTGCGCTCTGGGGTCCCGGCTTGGGGGGGTGGTCTGTGGATTCGGATTTGCGGTCAGTTGACTGAGAGTGCACAACATGGCCGGAGACCAGAGCCTACCTTGCGTATAATCCAGAAGCTTATCCAAGTCCATTCCGATTAGTTTTGCGACTTTGAAGTCACTGGAGTCTGCTATTTCTAATCCATAGGTAGTGTGCAGTGTATATATCTTTGCAACCCCTCTTCTCCGCCGCTGCTTCCCCTCTTTCCCCCAATGCTCCACGCCCCGATCCTTTGTTCGTTCCATGGTATGTTAATTGCCTTTATCACATTAAATATGTTGGAGACGCCCTTCACACCTATCCGGATGTACTCAGTTTATACCCCTAAGCGCTCAAGATTATCTTTCAAGCCCTAATGCCATGTTCAGCCGTCCTTCAGCTCCCCGAAAGCTTGATCGAATAAAAGTAGACATACAAAAGACAAATACTCGAAGCGTCCTAGGTCGCCCTGTTGTATCACGGCCGACATCAAGCAAGCGGAATTCGTTTCAGTCATCAGAGTTACTACATGCTTGATGGAGAATGGAAAGGGAAGGCTGCACTCTTTGGCATGGGCCGGACAAAAAGAGCACTTTATCTGGAGACATCATCGTCACTTAAGGTCTCAACCTGAGACATCCAGATACTACAAACCTATTGTCTTGCTAACTATCAAGGATCTGGATTGTTTGACACTGCTGCGTTTGCAACAAAAGACCATAGCAACAGCCATGGAGCAAACCGTTCTGGGCCAGATTACTGCGAAGCTCTAGAGACCTAGCAGCACAAGGAATAAAACGCTCCCTGTAGGTTATATGTTTGTCCCCTCGTTCCACGAGCAAAGCCCGGAGCATCGGCCAAGAGGGATGGAGCTGGGAGAGCTGGTTGACTATTCACGACATCATTACCTGCTTACATTGTTAAATCACAGAACTGAGCAATACAACGGATACCTGAGGGGTTTCTCTATGATTATGAAACTTCTTTCTTCTCTGCAGCTTCTGTAAGTTAGAGCTCTCACTTGCCAGTGAATCATTCTACCCACCTTGTTTGTTAGAGTGAGGCAGCGCTATCTCAAGCGTCTTCAGCTCGGTGGCAGTTACTTCAGAGAACAAGACTAATAAAGCATCAGCAATACGGAGTTTCAAGCTGGTATCTCGCCTGAGCAAGGATTTACCGTGTCCTCGCGTTCGACTCTGTAGAACACCGGCTACCTATGAGGTTGAGAACAGTCAGATCAGTATAGGCTCCTCCCTTCTCCCGTGCCTTGACAGTTCATATCCATGAGCTCTGAAAGCTGACAATGTTGCATTGAAGGTTGTCATTCTCGCCTGCGAACACACGCGTCAGACCAGACGGCTATACCAAGATGGAGCGCTACCCCAAGAATACACACACCAAGCGCAGGCGCGAAGAGTCTCCGTTGCTCGACACAATCGACCCTGCTCTCCTGATGAAGAAGCCCAAAACCGATCATGAGATAAGCCTCATGGATCTTCCCTACGCCAGCCCTACCCCTACGGTTAATACCTCAAAAATTGAGCTAAACATCGGCCAGAGCTTTATGGCTCTCTCTTCCACCGGCCCTACCGGAGTCAACGAGGTCGACTACATACGTGGTCTTGTCAAGAAGCCGGAGCTGGAAACTGACACTGACCTTATGACCTTCCTCTACACTGGCCTTGATTCTCTCGAAGCCTCGAATTTGAGATTCAACCCGGGCGACATGGACGACACAGACTCCACACCCGGCCCCGAAGATATCACTATCGATCTCGCCGCCATCAACCGCAACACCCGCCGTCCTTCCACTGGCCCCGCGCCGAATCCCCTGTCTCCAGCAAACTGGAAGGTCCACTTCGGCGACGAGAAGATCCTGGCTGAGAGGCTCTGGGCTACCATGCTCATCCAGAACGTGGACGGCATCAAGGATCTCGTCAAGGAGGGAGCTACACCCATGACATCCACCCAGTTCGGCGGCCATGCAATTGACATGGCTGTCAGAATGGAGAATGCGGCCATGGTTCGTGCTCTCCTTCCGAACCGCGATGCCCTGCGCAAGTACGGACACCGCGCCCTTCTCGTTGCGGTGAACAACAACTCCATGGAGATGATGACGGCTTTGTTGAACATGGGAATGCGCGAGCTCCTTGCCGCCGACGAGACCGCGAAGATCATTGTCTACGGCCATACCTGCAAGCACGGGACCCCGGAGATGATCGATACACTCAGCGCGCAAGGACCGTGGTTTAGCTGGAAGGCGTACTGGCATTGGTGCCTCCGCCTTTCCGATCAAACCAAAAAGGGTGCAAACGGAAACAAGGTCTGGGAGCTGAAGGAGGAATATATGGAGGTGTGCTATGCCCATTCCGTCCTAACTTGGCAACACAATACCAATCAGGGCTAACCTTCCCAGCGCGAGATGAACAAGAGACCCCTCATGAACAGAAACGACGTAATCGACACCTGGCACGAAGCGCAGGAGCTCCCGGCCCTGCATCAGGTCATGCGCATCCACTGCAACGCCAATCCGAACAACAACATCGACGACCTGTACTGGACCGAGTACTACAATCCGACCAAGTACTTGAACCCCGTGAAGCGGGCCCCAGCCGAGTACGTCCGCCGCCGCACCGGTTTCTGGGATATGTGATATGTTCTGGAGAAGTACAATCATGCATTGAGCTTGCTCATGGCGCTGCATTTGCACATTCTTCAAATCGAGATGGGAGGTAATGGACATACGATGTGACATTTGATTTGAGAGATCTTACGGCTCTGTACTCGACTGGTGCTGCATGTTAGCGATCTATGGCCTAAGTAGGAATGAGTGCATTTGGATTGTTGCTGGGCGCATGTATCCGGGATTGAGGTCTACTTGGTTGTTTTCGCCGAGATCTCATAGGGCTCAGATACAGGAAATTACCATCTAAATCCTCTGGGATCTCATGACCTGGTCGCTCTTCAACCCCTAAATCAGGGACTAGCCCTTAGCAAAATCTTTAATCCCCTCATAGTTCACTATTTCAAGACTGTGCCATACAAGATGGTCTCATTGACGGAGGGTTGAGAATAGAAGCCTTCCCTCCTTCATCTTAGCTTTCTAGTCGCAATGCACACAGCCTTGGAGAACACAAACAGCATTGGCGCCAATTTCCGCTGAACTCGATCTACCGGAATTGGCTGAACGACTGCAGGGAAAGCAAAGCGAGGTGGGCCTCTAGACCGTTTGCTGTCTTTACTGATCTTGATAGCTTGCAGCTCGCAGAATAGTTCAACCAACCTCATCCCTTTATGCTCCTCAACTTCAAACCCCTGGAGAATTCCGAGAAGGAACTGGATAGCCTTTTCTTACTTCGCTCCCACATCCCCGTTCATTCGCTTAACCCAAGGACTTTCTTGGGTGGGAGTTCTCCGTGGCCATAAACCAAAGTCATGATCGGCCTGCAAAGGAACACCCAGAAGATTGGTAGCGGTCCAGCTCGATCGAGTTCAATTGGCGCTGCTGTGACGAGATATAAGACTGTTCGACTGCAAAGAAGGGGCTGTTACTGCGTTCGTGGATGGTGATAAGGGAACATACGTGGTGCAGTGGAAGAAGCGTTTAGCTAAGGCTTTAGGGACAAAGGAGAGTCTATTTGTAAGAGGACAGTGATTAGACTGCTGTCGTGGTAAAGCAGTTCAGGATACACTGGCGTCCTATTTTGTAATCCCAAGAGTAGTGGCCACTCACCTGCCCTTGCTATATCTACCTGACTTCGAACACTTGTCAGCTGGCATAAAGAAACTGAGATTCCCCTAGTTGACCTCAATTCGTAAGGTATACCGCGGTGATATTACCTCAGATACGGGAGATTCAGAGAGCCGGAAAGGCTTCCAATGCTAGTACGGTATTTCGTTTACGATCGTGGGTACTAGATATTGAGATGGATTTACTACAGACACCGTGTACCTTGATCAGCTGAAAGAGACCATCGCTATCTTTTACTCGTCCTTTCGTCACAAAAAGCTCAAAAGGCCCCAGTCTTTCAGAGCCCAACAGAAGGCACGGCCCTCTTCGGCTTCCTCCAGGCTCTCCTCTCAGATCAAGCACCAAATGACCACCCCTCGCTTTCCGCCATATCTCACATTAATCTTGTTTAGACCTCATGGGCAAGGCCCAATTCTGTTCCAACTGTCTTCTCTGCCAGGGACGCAAGGCCTACTAGCTCAATGGTAAGAGTCCCGTCACCATATAGAAAAGCCTCACCCAGGCCTCAGACTGCAGCCGCCGCCGCATCCCTCACTCAAGCTCCAACAAAAGGCCTCAGGGAGGTCTCACAACGCGCGCGAGTATCTCCTGAGTGAGCACGCGACGCGAACGCGACCATGGCAGAGAAAACGTCTCATTTCCCTTTTTCCTTCAACACAAGCATGTATACGCCTGATCCACTTCACTCTCACACCATTCTCTACTGCATCTCAATCCCCCCATGTCGCAAGTTACATATCCCAACCCAGAATACCCATGGGTCATCGACCTCCCCGACGATGACCCTGCCGTTGACCCGGACTGGGTCCGAGGCGAAACCCCTGAGTCAGGAACGGACTCATACATTGGAGCTATCATCGGAGACGAGCGATACTCAGACGTGATTTCTGAAATCTCGATAGACCTCAACACAAATATTTACGATGTTGGATATCTCGAGGATTTAAGTACGCCAAACCAGGAGATGGTTACTGTGTCGGACGAGGAACTCGGATGTTGGATCGGACCAGTCGTTGGATGGGAAGAGGACCGGGAACGAGAAATCCAGGATCAGAATGATGAAATGGAGCTGGTGGTTGACACAGGGCTTGATTCAGGAGCACTCTTTGAGTATGACTGCAATGTCGACAAGTCCAATATCGAAACACATCCTGAGGTAATGGTTGTTATACCAGCATACAAACCTACAGACTTGGACACGGAATCAGACACCAATATGGTATTGGAAATAGAAGACGAGACACATCTCGACAGGGAGATTCGAGAAGCTGTGGCACAGAATGTCTCCCGCGGAAGGTACGCCTGCTCTTCGTTGTCGAAGAGCCACAGGAGCAGGCTCAACTACGTCTACACGGGCACTCTAGCAAGGCCACTTGATAACGGGACGAAGACGGTGATCATAAAACATTCAGTCCCTTATATCTCTACGGTTAAGGAGCATGAGCTTACACAAGCTCGCAGTGTACGCTCTACCTACTCTGACGATAAGATACAGACGTGGATTAACACCACTCCAGATTTCAGAGGGGCTCGTCCTCAACAGCCTAGACCAATTTAGTCTTCGAGTGACCAACACTACTCTCCATAATCAGATATTTAAACTGAATATCCGGACACCGGAGCTATACCAGCTGAATTATGCTACACACACTCTCATGATGGAGCATCTCAAGAACTCCACTGACTTACAAACATTCTTGCTGAATTTGCCGTGCTTGAAGGATGAACGACTGTGGGCATGGGTTTTCCAGATTGGAGAAAGCCTAGGTCAATGGCTACGGCAGTTTCACAATTGGATGACGAAGGAGAGTCAGAAGACGGTAGCAGGAGAATTTGACACAGACATCAATAAAGAGATGGCCGGGTTTAGATTCCGTCTTAGTTATGAATGGCTTCCTCGCGCGATCGAAAAATACCCAAATATCCTGGGGAAGAAGAAGGGGACCAGAAAGATCATGGAGAAGCTGATGAAGGTGGCCCGCGAAGAGCTGGACAAGGATTTCCAGACCAAAGATGAGACAATTGGGCCTATTCATGGGGACTTCTGGGCGGGGAAGTATGTCATCCCTCCTTTCATCCCATACCTAACCCTAACCCACAACCAGCCTACGTACAAGGTTTAACTAACAATATCCAGTATTCTCCTGCCCTTGGACATCTTGCGACCGCCCGCAAAGAAGCCTTCTTTTGATCCCTGTTTCGACTTGGAAGCCAGGAATGCCCCTGCTTTTATGCCCGTTCCCGACTCCACAATCTTAATAACGGATTGGGAATTTGCTCAATACGGGCCTCGCGCGCTAGATATCGCCCAAATGGCAGCGGAGCTTTACATTGATTACCATATCTACGGGGTCGAGGCGGCAAAGGAAATGATAGAGGGCTTTATTCACGGTTATGACCATATAACCATGGAAATGTCCTGGAGGATTCTCCTCCACGTGGGCACTTACTTCATTGTCTGGGCGGCTGCTGCCGGGGACGGTGACCGAGAACCGTCCGAGGAAATTGCCAGAAAAAAGAGAAAGCTGGTTAAGCTGGGCAGGAGGCTCATTGTGAGAGGCTGGAGGCGGAGGCAGAAGCCCTTCTTCGGCGACTTCTGGAATTGTGTTTTCAGGGGGTATCCTGACTAGAAGAGCTTCACCTTGCCGTTTACTTGTCCGGAAGCATTGGGCTTTGCGCGAGCAGTCGACTGATGCGGACTGAACTGCTATGTTCGTTGACTTGGAGACCTGATGTCTCTTTCTCTTTGTGGATTTGGCACCGCGCATGCTGGATTGGAGCATGAGATATGGGGCGTTCTGCGGGCATGGACTTGGTTCGCCTGCGTGGAGGACATTGGACGATCCAAACGACCTTATGACTGTATGAGAGTATGGATTGAACGACATGACTGACGATGTGTGAGTTGGGAACAGAGGTATTTTCTTTCTTTTTTATTGCATCGGGATGGATATACAGCGTTTCGTTTTGTTTCTTTTCGGACCATTTACAGGACAGGACATAGGAGGCTGAGTTCCGCCTTATTGGACCCAGGGGCCTTATGCTAGTTCTTCAATACTTTGACATCCAGGAGACAGATAGTTGAACAGGGTCTTGCTTGCCTTGATAAGTCGGCCATCACAGACGAGGCTCGTTGTCGAAAATGCTTCGCGGCTCGTCTTTTGTGCTGGATCCCATCTCCCGGCCCGTAGCCCATATTACTTCGCACCTAGGGAACTGATTATGTGGAGGCCACAGCAATAAGCCAGGGACTCCTTAGGCGATAGCCTCGTCGACAACAAGGATGTAATGCAATGTAGCTAAAGCCAAATCAGCTTCTATTCTATCCTACACTATATATCTATGCACCCACAACCTCAGCCTTCATACCCACATTCCCCTCGGGCGTAAGAATCTCCACGACGCTCTTCTCCCCATCCCCACTTCCCTTCTCGCCTTGCTTGAGCACAATCCGATACTCATCCTCCGCATACAACGGACTCGTAGCACGATAGGCAATTCTCTCTGGCAAGAACGCGCTCGCATCCGCGCCAGCACCTCGAACGTCCCTCCAGAAGTCCAGAATCGCAATCAGATTCAACGGCCCGTGCACAACGATGTCCTTGTGCCCCTCGACCTGCCGGCACCACGGCTGCGAGTAATGGATTTTATGGGGATTGAAGGTAAGTGCGCTGAAGCGGAAGAGTGTCACGGCTGTTTGGCGAAGGGTGCGCGTGTGCGTGAGGCCGTCTGCGGAGGATGTTGTTGATGTGCTGGCGGGTTGCGAAGAGGGAGGCGTTGGTGATGGTAGGTTCTGTGTATCTATTGTTACTTGCGACGGCGGTGGAAGCGCCTTGCGGAAGACCCAATTTCTATAAGACCCGTTAGTCAATTATCCCTAGGACCATCGGACATGGACAAACCGCCTATCAACAACCGCTACACCCCCCTCATTCGCAAACTCCTTCTCAACCCCAACAACAATCATCTCCTCGCCCGTCTTCCGCACAACCTTTGCCTCGGCACTAAGCACCCTCGTCGTCTCGGTGACCTTCTGCCCGACCCTCAACGGATTGACTCGTCCCTTACCGTCCCGCGGCCAGGAGACCTCCCCGCCCGCCCACATGCGCCGCGTGAACGGGTGCGCCGGGTTATAGCTCGTGTCTGTGCCGTCGGCGCCGAGCTCATTCTCTAGGAATGCAGGCGTGAAGTATGCGAGGTGGTAGCCTGCCGGAAGTGGTGTTCCGTCTTCGATCGCGGTTGTTGTTGTGCTGGGTGCTGTTTGGGAGAGGTGCGGGGAGGTGGAGAAGAGGGTTGGGCGGTTGAGTGTCAATGAGAGGAGGCGGAGTTGATTTGCGTCGAGGGTTTGGGTGCGTGATTGTGGTCCTAGGGATTGGAAGCGTGAGAGGAAGGAGGTTGCTATTGGGGATGCGGATGTGGCTGTGGATGCGGAGGAGTCGGAGGTTGATGAGGAGAAGCGGAGGAGCGCGGTGTTGAGGGTAAGTCGGGTGGGGAGGGTTCTTGCTGTCCACCTCGTCGCTGATTTTGAGAGGAGCATGGTGCCAGTTCTCTCACAGCTTGTATTTATGAAAATACATCTTCAAAGGGGGTTCTTGTTCGCATTAATTTAATGAAAGGTTCAAGAAGGCATCTCGAAAAGTGGGGTAGGTACCTCGGCTGTTTGTTCCGAGACCGGAGCAGAGCAAACAGCCGTTTTCCGAGAAGCCTACTCCGTACCTATGCCTACCGTAAGCTCCGCTACATCGACTCATCGACAACCTATCGTCCAACAGGGGACCATTGACAGCTTTATGTATACTAGATATACAGTCTCTCAGACAGTCGGGTAGGCAGGTGCACCTACAGCCTCACCTGCCCAGCTTGAAGCCTTTCCCAGTCCTTTCGCTCAAATGGGAGATATGTATCTCCCTGAAGCCAGTACAGCTTGTCCTTCTTCCCAATACGACTAGGGTCAACACCCTGAGTCCTCAACACGTGCTTCTGCTGCTTGTAGTTGCCCGTGGCCTGCATTTCAGGCGTAACCCGCAGGAAAAGTGGCGCCGCAAATCGAGGTAGGTTGCGCAGGACATGCGCTGCAACACTCTTAAGTGTTCCTGAAGATGGGTCAAGAAGAACCGACTGGTCGGCTGCCTGGATCTGCTGGTCGAATACGACAGCGGCACATCCCGCTCGACCGTCGTGGTTAGGCAACGTTACACCATACACGTTGGCCTCATGCACCTCTGGGTGGGTGCCCAGCACCTCCGACACCTCATTAGTCGACACATTCTCGCTCTTCCATCGGAAGGTGTCGCCGAGACGGTCAGAGAAGTACCAGCGGCCTTCTTTGTCCCATCGCATCATGTCGCCGGTACGGAAATAAGCGTCGCCCTTGCGCAGCACGTCACGGATGACTTTGCTGTCACTCGCTTCTGAGTTGCGGTAGTAACCTTGGAAGGTTTCACCAGGGTCACTCGGATCAATGGCATACAGGAGCTCGCCCGCTTCCCCTCGCGGGACTGGTTTGCAGAAGCCGGTTTGAGGATCGCGCCATGGTACCTGTGATTCCTGGTCTACTTCGACGATAGTCAAGCCGCGTCCAAAAAGCCATCCACTGACAACGCCCATACGTCCAATCGCTCCAGCGGTAAAGTCATTCGAAGAGTAGTTCCATGTTCCGCCCGGACTCTCGGTAGCAGCATAGAATTCGGCAACCGTCGGCACGTTAAAGCGTTCCTTGAAGCGGTTCCAAACATCTGGCCGTAGTCCGTTGCCATATACTGCTCGAATGCTGTGCTTCTTGTCCAGGTCCTCTCCAGTCACCAGGTCGACTTCGCCTGGGGTAGCAAGCAGGTATCGCAAGGTTTCGCCCACGTACTGAAGGACTGTGGCGTCGTTCTCGCGCGCTTCTTTGATGAAATTCCTAGCCGAGAATTTTCGACCTACAATCAATGTAGATCCAGCCGACAGACAAGCCAGGAATGCCAGTATGGCAGCCGATGAGTGATAAAGCGGCATGCACTATGGTCCGTCAGCTACCTATTAAGATCGCCGGACAAGGTTGACATACAGTATAGACACGGTCGTGCGTGGCCATCTCCACAAAGTGGCTCACGAAGACGCTTCCTGCCCAACTTTTCCTCCAGCTGACGATAGCAGGCTTTGGAAGTCCCGTTGTACCGCTGGTGTAGATCAACGCGGCCATATCCCGAAGTTGAACACCATTGCGCGCTTTGTCATCCTCTCTTTCCGCCTCTGTTTGCAGAACCTGGGCTTCAATCTCCGGTGTATGGAAGATGACCTCGACGGCACCCCCGTCTTCCCGAAAATCAGGAGACGCAAAAGCTGCCAACTCATCGGGACCAAAAGAGGAGCGAACTTCTTCATCGACGATCATCAGCCGGGCAGTCGAAGTGCGGATCGAATGTGTCAACGGCTTTCCAGTGAGGTTATAGTTGATAAAGGCCGGCACCGCGCCGATACTCCAGAGTCCGAGCCAGATGAAAACGAAGGTTGACGAGTTCATCATATTCAAGGCCACAATCTCACGAGGCCTGATGCCGTGCACCTTCTTGAACCAGGTCCCATATCGCAAGGCTACTATGTACGTTTCATGGAAGCTCCAGCTGCGGCCATTGTAGACGATGAATGGCCGGTCCTTCGATGCGGAATTGAGGGCATGCTTCTCCAGGACATAGAAGAGATTCAGATTGTCACGGCGCTGCGCGAGGCGAGATTTGATGATGGATTTGAAGAGGCCGTGGAAGATCTTCTTGTCGTAAAAGAGAGAGTACCTCGCGTTCAGATAGGCCAGGGTAGTCGCAAGTGCCGGACCGGCGAGTGAGAGCGGAATGTCTATAGTAACGAGGGTTAGCAAGCTCACCAATGTGATGTGAGAGTCACACACCCAATGGTAACGGAACGGCCATGGCTATATCGTAGAGAATCAAGGAGAGGTGTAGACGTATAGGTACCGTTGAGGTTGGACCAGCCCGCGAGGGGGAACCGCTCGACAGTTAAAGGTGGGACTTGCCGACTCAGGGAACCGAGGTACCGTTGGAACCAGAAGCGAGTGGGCATTGATGGGCATTGTAAAGGAGGAGAACAAAGGAGGCGCATTGTGGCCAACCAGACAGCCCATGAAAACCACCAGGCCGTCTTGGAAACGTCAAAGCGAGATCAGGAGCCCGCGCATTGTCTGGATCGAGGAGAAAGTTACCTCGGCCTAGAGGCGGCGGCAACAGAGCGGCTTCAAGAAGGATCAAGCGGCATAAATGCTGTTGACGAATTCATAAAAAGCTGGAGCTCTGAATTAAGTGGAGTCTTCTGCAGCCGATCGCCGCTAATAGTTGGTTTTGCGGAGCATTCTGGTTGTCGGGAATTTTAGTCTTGACTTTGATATAGAACAACCTTGTCACATGCTACCTTCACCACAATAACCTGAAGTAGAGCTTCAAGATCGTCTCGCTTGCAGGAATAGCCAGGCCGTAAAGGCCATTGACTGCTGAAAACTCTATATTATCACTTCCTCCAAGTTCTTTACCACGGCATACCATGCCTTGATTCCAGGGGCTTCCCCCACGCTTACTACGGCTATCCGAGCTACCCATAGGCACGCCCTAACGGCCAGCATAGCAGAGAACAACATCCAGCCACTTGCGCCCCGGACTATCTCAATATCCTCATAATTTTCAAATTGAATTTTGGCGAATAAATCCAGGATAGACACATCTCTTGCCGACTGCCCCGGCACAAATATAAGGCACAACTTGGGGGTTCAGTTGTGCCTTGAGTCCCGGTACAACTACTTGCTGTAAGCTGATGATGTTTGTCTCGAATCGCTGGGAAGGACGAGTAGTCCTGTCACCAAGCTGTTATGCGGATCCCAGGGGTATCGTGAACCGAGTACCCGAGCGTACCGGGTGCATCTGTATCTTGAAGATGACGAGACTGTTTTGGCGAGGAGATGTTGGGTGAATGTACACGAGCATCGGGGGATAATGCTCGCGCTACCGTGAGCTAATAGAAGAAATTGAGTGGTATGAATTGTTTCAGCGGCCCCCTTGTATGTTTATGCGATTCTATGTTACTCAGGTAGTGGAGACTAGAGATTGAAGGGGCGGGTGATTGGGCTTACTTTGCATTTAGATTCAGATACCTAAGCCGGCCTTTTCTTCATCGCGGGTACTTCTTCATAGTCATCCTCCAAAAATGTTTTCAACTTAGCGAGTCCTTCCTCCAGCACTTGCGTCTCACACGCAAATCCAATCCGCACGTAGCCATGGAAGTCTTCTCCGCCACCAAAGCACAAGCTTCCAGGGACAAACATGACCCCGGTTCGCTCCTGGAGCATCTCACAGAACGCGATGTCATTTATAGGCTTGCCCATCTTGTTGAATCGGACAAACGCCGTGGTTCCGGCTCGGGGTTTAACCCAGTCGCACGCCCAGCGATGAGACTCAATGAACTTTTCCAGGATTGCAACATTGTTTCGGGCAAGTTCAATATTTCGCTTTAGTAGTGAATGGATTGTGGTTGGTGCCAGTGCGTAGCTTGCAACTGCATCGTCTAGCTGCGAGACGGAGATGGTGGTATAATCCCGCGCAGAGGCGCAGGCTTCAATAACAGATCGATCGCGAGACGCAATCCATCCTACACGGATACCTGCGAGGCTGTATGCCTTTGACATGGAGCCTGTTACAATTGCTCTCTCATAGCCCAGAGACAGGGTTGATGAGGGGAATTCCTTGTCCATAGGGCTGATAGAGTGGAAGGGAGGCCGATAGACTTCATCACAGAAGACGTAGATGGATGAGCTGCGCGCAATTTCGACTATCTCATCCAATGTCTCTTGCGGGATGATAGCCCCTGTAGGGTTCTGCGGGTTGCTACATCACGAAGGTCAGATACCGAGCGAAATCTCCAAAGAAGGGGCTATACTTGAGGATGATAAGCTTGGTATTCGGCCGGATGAGCGCCTTTAGCTCCTCAAGGTCCAGCTTCCAGCCATCCGCCTCCTTCGACTTCCATAGGCTCACATCAGCCCCAAGCGACTCTGGGACCGAATACAGCTGCTGATAGGTCGGGTAGTGGCATATAACATGATCCCCGGGGCCTGTCAGGGTATATAACAGAAGAAAATTCGCCTGGATTGCACCAGAAGTGATCAGGATATTGTCCGGGGGCAATGGACTTGGCGTCTTCACGGAGTACAAATTGGCCAGTGTCGTTCGCAGTCGTTCAGAACCTCGGATCTCCCCGTATGTGAGCTTGCGATCAAGGAGGCCATCCAAGGGACCTGAAGCCGGGTCCTCGGATAACTCTTGGAGTTCTCGAATAGACACTGAGGCGCTGCATGTCTCTGCCACGTTGTACTTGGCGGTTGTTTCGTACTTGTCCATCCACTGGTGGGATTAATTTCGGCACAATATATCCGCATGATGCGGGGTGTCAGGGCACATACTTGTTCAACAGCAAAGTCTTTGATCTGAACCATGATGGCGGTTGTTTTAGAATCAGCGTAGCGTCCGAACAGGTACTGAGAAATTCAAGCGGGGCCTTATATCGTACTCAGGAGCTGGTTCTTGCGGAAAGGTCCGTATCACGTGGGGGCGCTCTTAGGATTGCCTCTTTTGGGGTAGCTGGTGCTATACCCGGGCGGCCACGAGGTGGTTCGGAACATAATAGGTAAGTCAATTTGACAGAGTAAAATCTCACGAGCGTACACTTGCATGACCAATCACGCCTGAGCTGAATTGACCTCAGTCTCTCACGAGAACTTCTTTCCGGGAGTTGACAGGTGGATGCCCCAGGCTGCTACTCCATACCTACCAGCCTCCCGTCTTCTCCGCCCTCGTCATCGGCATCGCCCCGTTTCAACACCTCCATCGCCTGATTTCCGTGCCTTGTTTCTATCATTGCTGTCCTCTTTTCATCCGATCGCTCGCTTCCTTCCATAGTGACGCCTTTTTTCGACTTACATTCATCTCCATTCTTCGTGTCCTCGCTAGAATAGCCGCTGCACCGTTCCTGGCGATCATCGCCTTACTCCGCATCTCAGCCGCCGGGTGACCTTCGCTGGCCGACCTGCTTGCCCCGACAGCATGCGGCTCAAGCCCTCGCTGCAACTGTCTCTTGCAGTTGGGCTTTCACTAACGACATCCGCTGTTCTCGGACGTGGTAATACATCTACGACCGACCTCGACTCACTACTCTTTTCGTCCCTCGACGACCGTCCGGGCAACTGTCCACCGTGTTTCAACTGCCAGCTCGACGCCTTCCAATGCACGCAATTTGCGTCTTGTGATATATATAGCGGAAAATGTGTCTGTCCGCCCGGCTTCGCAGGGGAGGATTGCTCGGAACCACTGTGCGGGTCTCTATCAGATCCCCAGCGCCCTTCTCGGAAAGACAAATACTGCTCCTGCAACGATGGCTGGGAAGGAATCAACTGCAATGTCTGCAAGACAGATGACGCTTGTAATGCAATGATGCCGACTGGCGAAGATGGTGTTTGTTACAAGCAGGGCGTGACGGTGAAAGAGAACTTTCAGATGTGTGATGTGACGAATCGGAAGATTCTGGACCAGCTGAAAGAACGGAAACCTCAAGTAACGTTCTCCTGCGAAGCCGAAGACAAGACTTGCAACTTCCAGTTTTGGGTCGATCAGGTGGAGTCATTCTACTGCGGCTTGGATACTTGTGACTGGAATCTGGAAACAGACTTTGACAAGAATACTACGCGCTATAAATGTGAGAACATCAATTGCAAGTGTATTCCTGGCCGTATGCTCTGTGGAGAAGAAGGTTCCATCGACATTGGGGAGTTCCTGAAAGAGTCGATCAAGGGACCGGCCAGTTTCTCAACCACATCCACTCTCGGTGGCAGCAAAGAGGATGGAAGCAAGTTCCAGGAACCCGAAATGGACAATTTGATTAAGAGCGTCTTTGGCGATGAGAGTATCACACTCCGGTGCTCTTCGGGTGAATGCGTCCATAAGACCGAAGTACCAGGCTACCAGCGCCCCGTTAAAAAGATCAACACCCCGCTTATAGCAGGTGTGATTGCAGGCTGCGCCTTATTTGTCGTCGCTGTGATATTAGGCCTTTGGTATCAGTCTCGCCGGTCTCGTTACGGCCGTATCCAACTCTCCCTTTCTGACGATTCCGACGACGAAGCATCCAAGCTTTTGGCGGACCACCGCCCGGCTGCGCTATACTGGGACAATGTCTCCTACTTTGTTAATGGCAGAGAAATTCTTTCGGGTATTCAGGGCGCCGCGCCGACAGGACAGATAACCGCGATTATGGGGGCTTCAGGTGCCGGAAAAACCACTTTCCTCGACCTTCTGGCGAGGAAAAACAAACGCGGTATTGTTCAGGGAGACTTCTATGTCAATGGGGAAAAGGTGAATGACGCGGATTTTAAGAGCATGATCGGCTTCGTAGACCAAGAAGACACTATGCTTCCCACCTTGACCGTGCACGAGACGATTTTGACAAGCGCGTTGCTCCGTCTACCTCGAGACATGAGCCAAGCCGCCAAGGAGCAACGAGTAATGGAAGTTGAGAAGCAACTCGGAATCTATCATATCAAAGACCAGTTGATTGGCTCTGAGGAAGGCTCAGGTCGGGGTATTTCTGGTGGTGAGAAACGCCGAGTTGGAATCGCCTGCGAGCTAGTCACCAGTCCTAGCATTTTGTTCTTGGATGAGCCTACCAGCGGCTTAGACGCCTTCAACGCCTTCAACGTGTAAGTACTCCCAAAGCTGTAAGACAGGTTGTGCTTGAATGTCTAACAAATCTAGGGTTGAATGCTTGGTGTCGCTAGCGAAGGATTACAACCGCACCGTCATCTTTACCATCCATCAACCACGGTCCAACATCGTCGCTCTTTTCGATAGGCTGATTCTCCTAGCCAACGGCAAAACCGTCTACTCCGGCCCATTCTCGACATGCCAGCAGTACTTTGATGAGGCTGGATATTCCTGCCCACCGGGATTCAATATCGCTGATTACCTAGTGGACCTCACGATGCATGCCGGCAGCACTACTCATTTCCACAGTGATGAGGAGGAAAGCCCTCTATTAGCAGTGCCCCCTGATCCGCCAAAAACCGCTTCCAGCAGTCTAAGAGCTGTCAAGTCTGTTGCGAGTGCGTCCAACGCCAGTATCGAGGAGCACTCCGGCAACAGCTTTGATTACGGCAGGCGGCCTAAGGGTAAGCGACGAACTTCTCTCAAGCAGCGACAGGATCGTCAACTTTACTCCCGTCGAAAAGATGCCGATGCTCCTCCCACGCCTCGAACTGACGAGGAGGACGCCGCGGAGGTAGGCGAAAGCCAACAGCAGTGGCTGCGGCTGTCCCGCCATCAGGGCCAGACTCCACCACAGATCCTCGACGACCCAGATGATCTTCCACCGGCCGCCCCGGGGCAGACTGACTTGGATTTGATGGTTGCTCACTACGCCGCCTCCGACATTGCACGATCCGTGCGCAACGAGATCATTTTAGCGACTCAGCATGCGCGCGCCGCCAATGGTTCTTCTAACTCCGAATCCCCATCTACGCCCATCACCCATCCACCCAAGAGCTATGCGAGGGTGAGCTTGGCTCGCCAGTTTATCATCTTATCGCAGAGAACGTGGAAAAATCTCCATCGAAACCCGATGCTTATGCTCACCCATTATGCAATTGCCATTCTGCTTGCTGTCCTCTGCGGTTTTCTCTTCTACGGTCTCACAGATGACATCAAGGGATTCCAGAACCGACTTGGTCTTTTCTTCTTCGTACTGGCCTTGTTTGGATTCAGTACGTTGACCAGTCTGACTGTGTTCTCCACCGAACGCCTTCTGTTTGTCCGCGAGCGTGCTAATGGGTACTATCACCCTGTCACCTACTACGCGGCGAAAGTTGTTTTCGACATTGTTCCCCTTAGACTCATCCCGCCGATTATTATGGGTGTGATAGTGTACCCGATGACGGGGCTCATTCCCGCCTGGCCCGAGTTCTTCAAATTCATCCTGGTCTTGGTTCTCTTCAACCTAGCGGCTGCTACCATATGTTTGTTCATTGGTATTGTCTTCCGCGATGGCGGCGTGGCCAACTTAATTGGTAGTTTGGTCATGCTTTTCAGTCTGCTGTTTGCTGGACTGTTGCTCAACCATGATGCGATTCCACCGTCTGCACTGTGGTTGCAATCAGTAAGTTCCTTCCCAGTCACTTTTCTTAGTACTTTCATTTAACATCCTGAACAGCTATCTATATTCCACTACGGGTTTGAAGCGTTGATTGTGAACGAGGTAACCTTCCTGACTCTGATCGACCACAAGTACGGCCTTGACATTGAAGTGCCGGGGGCTTCTATCCTTAGCGCATTCGGATTTGACACTCTGGCATATTGGAAGGATGTTATTGGGCTTGCCGTCTTTTCTGGAGCCTTCCTTGTGATTGCATACTTAGCGATGCATTTCCTGCTTGTTGAACGGCGATAATGGTGTGCTGACACGCGACATAATTCCGCCTTGTATTGCGAGTCGCTTGTGAGCGTTCACGGAGTAGCATGATAACGTTGCTGATGTCTCATGTTGCAATAGAGAGGTTGGCCATGTGTATATAGTCTCGCAGAGCATCAGAATTCAGCAGATCATACTTAATTCCGGTATGTAAGTGGAAAGATGCCAGAGGCGGATGGAAGCACGTGTTCCCCGCATCATGCCAGTGAGCTCATGACAGTTGACGCAACATCGACAGCTGCTCATCTCACATTTTCCGATCTGGACACCTTGTTATCAAGCTCCCAAATCGGTATTACCTAAATACTCAAAGTCGATCCTGCTTATCTCTATCGGTCTCCTCAAAAGAAGTCGATTGCGACTAGCTCGCCGCTCACCGCCCGCCCACACCTATTTTTCCCCGAAGTCCGCACCAAGTCTCTCCAGCCCAAATCCCTCCTGCTCCTCATTCTTCTCCCATACCCACTCCACCCCTCATCTCCCTCCCGGCCGTGGTCCTTCTCCTCACTGCTGACCAGTCTTCCCGCCCTTGTTTTACTCCTTACCCCTCCCTCTCTCTGCCCAAGATGTCCGGTGAGGCATGGCTCTACCTGCTGGCGGTGTTGATCAACGCCGTCAACCTGTTCCTGCAGGTCTTCTTCACTATTATGTATAGTGATCTCGAATGGTATGCTTTCCTCTGCATCACATGCCCAAATTATCTGCTCGTGCGAAGAGAGGACGCCGTCTACTGGGAGGAATTTGAGGCTCTTTGCTAACTCCGTCGCTACAGTGATTACATCAACCCTATCGATCTTTGCAACCGTCTCAACGCCTACATCATCCCCGAAGCCGGTGTCCACGCTTTCCTTACCTTCCTCTTCGTGATCAACGGCTACTGGCTCGCGATTGCCCTGAACCTACCGCTGTTGGCTTTCAATGCCAAGAAGTATGTCGTCTCCAGCTCGCTCACAAGGCCGAGTCTGCGCGCACTGAGAAAGATAGCTTATTCTAATTTCCTCTCAGGATCTACGATAACCAGCACCTCCTGGACGCGACCGAGATCTTCCGCAAACTCAACGTACACAAGAAGGTTGGATTGCACTCGTTTACGTCATAAACTCGGATGGGACGGAAACTGACTCCGATCTGTAGGAATCCTTCATCAAGCTTGGTTTCCACCTCTTGATGTTCTTCTTCTACCTCTACAGCATGATCGTTGCTCTTATCCGCGACGAGTCTCACTAATTTCGTGAAGAAACCGAGGACTCCATGCGCCACAGCGGGTCCCAGTAATGTCACGATGCACGCTCTTGAGAGGCGGGGAAATGTTCCGCTGTACTTGGGTGCTCATGAACACCATGAAAACTACTTGATACGAGAATATACTTCCCCGTCTGCCAAATAATACAGGACCTCGAGGCTGCCGTGGGGCCAGGCCGAGACCTACAGCCGTTGCGCAGAAGGAGTCATTATGTACGACATGACTATGAATTATTGGTGGGCTTTGGTGAAGCAAGAATGAGGCGGCTTCAACCCCGGTGGCTCAGGCTCACCGACGTTGAGACGTATCATTATCACTGCTTTGTTATCTTTTTCTTGGAACTCTGATTTTGTACTTGTCATGAACTTCTCTAGCCTTCATTGGACTCTGATGTTGCTTCCATTTTGATGTTTCGAATAATGACTGTATATACCTCTAGCGGTGTTGCGGTGGGAGCGTTCAATACCCATTAAGGAATGACAATAACTCTAAATTATTCTATAATACTCATCATCAGTTTGTTTCAGGGTTAGCTATATGACGTCCTTGCTGAAAGCTGAGTGGTTGATGCCGTCTGGTTTTGCGCTGTTGGCGGTAGCGGCGCCCGTAAAATCTCAGACGTCAAGCCCAGCCGTGCACACCACAGGTTCCATCACTCCTCTATAGCAGATCGACAAAATGGCTTCATTACTTGGAGCCGCATACGATTCAAGTGATGATGATACTCCTTCTGTCCCAGTGGCCTCGGCCTCAAAGATCGTTGCCGCCCCCGAGGTGAACACAGAGGTTTGGTCCCTGCAAATCTACCAGCACGCGAGTACACCAGGCCTAATAGACCTACAGGATCAAGCTCACATGCAGATGATGCTCGCTAATACGTCCTCCAAAGCACTTACCTACAACGCGACATACGATGACCTCTCGCGCCCCTCCCAAGGCCCCTCCAACCCCTTCAAATCCGCCGACGCAGGAAACGGCCTGAAGCGCAAAAACGTCCCCACGGGTTTCGCCGAAGCTGCTGCCATCAGCGAGTCCACGTTCGCCGCGCAGCATCGCACATTCCAGAGCTTGGGTTACACCCGTAACCCTACGCTTCCTGGCCAGTTTGTTGGCAACCTCGACCATGCCGCTCAGTTTGGCGGGCGCGACGTTGTGCAGATGAAGCCTTCTAAGGAGGCGTCGGCGGCGTTGAGAGCCAAGAGGCAGAAGAAGGGCGATTCCGGTATTGTCGAGGGTCCGGGCGCGTATCTCGGACCTTGGGCGAAATATCAGGACGACGATCAGGTCTACGATGAGGAACTCGGTAGCGACGAGGAGCTCGTTGAGGTGGATGAAGACGAAGTGGAAGAAGAACAGGTCGGGTCGGCACCCATGCCGGCCATGAGCAAGGAAGCAACAGATTACCAGGACGACACGTCGAAGGTCGAAACGTCGGAGTTCCACGGCTCAGAGCAGTACGACTACCTGGGCAGGACATACATGCACGTCCCTCAGGACCTGGATATCGATCTCAAGAAACCCACAGGCAGCATCAAGAACTACGTCCCCAAGAAGCTCGTCCATACCTGGAAATCGCACAACAAGGCCATCACCTCGCTCCGCTTCTTCCCTCAATCCGGCCACCTTCTTCTCTCCTCTGCAGCTGACGGCAAAGCCAAGATCTGGGACGTATATCATTCGCGTGAGCTTCTGCGCACATTCTCCGGCCACTCCAAGGCCATCACCGACACAGACTTCCACGTCACCGGCAAGACCTTCCTAACAGCCTCCTACGACCGCCAGATGAAACTCTGGGACACCGAAACAGGCCAGTGCATCTCACGCTTCTCGACGGGCAAAACACCTCACGTCATTCGCTTCAACCCCCACCCGGAACACTCACACGAATTCCTGGCCGGTATGTCCGACAAGAAGATCGTCCAATTCGACACCCGCTCCGGCGAGCTCGTCCAAGAATACGACCACCACCTGGCGGCCATCAACACACTCACTTTCGTCGACCAAAACCGCCGCTTCATCTCCACATCCGACGACAAGTCCCTCCGCGCCTGGGAATACGGCATCCCCGTGCCCATCAAGTTCATCGCCGAACCATACATGTTCGCCCTCACGCGCGCAGCGGCCCATCCAAACGGGAAATACGTTGCTTTCCAGTCCGGCGATAACCAGATCGTCGTCTACGGCGCAACGGACAAATTCCGGCAGAACCGCAAAAAGAGCTTCCGCGGCCATAATAACGCGGGCTATGCTATTGACCTCACCATCTCGCCGGACGGCCAGTTTATTGCGTCCGGTGATAGTGCCGGGTACGTGTGCTTTTGGGATTGGAAGACCGGTAAAATGTATCATAAGATTCTGGCCGGCGGGAAGGAGGGCGGCGCTACTACTTGTCTTGATTGGCATCCGCAGGAGACGAGTAAGGTTGTTACGGGTGGGTTGGACGGAGCTATTCGATACTGGGATTAGAGGACTGGCATTTTTTTTTCTGTTCTCCGTGCTTTTACTGGGTGTTATGACCAATCGGGTTGTTTATCTATCCTATGTCAATAGGGCTTAGTTGTTCATACTTGGCCTATTTTAGACTTCCATGGAATTATCGTCTTCGATGCTCACGTTCCTATAAGAATGCTGATAGCGGTGGTCCCAGTATCAAGTTTTGAAATACATGAAGAGTCTTGATCATATAATACGCGTCTAACGCTTCAGAAACTCGCCATTTCAATCCAGCTCGCGACAAACGCCAGCCTCCGGCCCCGATCAGCCGCCATGCGCCTGGAGAACTCCTCAAAACTCAACTTGGCGCCTGTTCCGCCCCGCCCCTTCGCTTCTGCCTCGACGCGGTTAAGGTATGCCCAGCGGGAGAGCGTTGCGGGGGGTGGAGGTGTAGTCGGACCCTGACGCTTGGGATGGAGAATAGGGGATGCGGATCGGGATCGAGATGAGGGTGGTGGGAGGGGTTGGATGGGTGAGGGGGCGCGCTTGGGCGCTGTGGCTTCGGCGTCGGGGGAGGAGGGGGAGAGGGAGGGGAGTGCTGGGAAAGTGGATGCTGCGGTGTTGGGGTGGAGGAGGATTGAGGTGGGAAGGGTTGTCGGGTGGGGAGTGTCGATGTCAACGTCGGTGTCGTTGGGGCGATGGTGCGGGAGGGTAGGGTCATGGTCAGATTCGGGGTCGGAAGCGTGGTCTGACTCGAGATGCAGAGGGGAGGCCTCCTCGTCCATGACTGGGAGAATGTGGTGGTGGGGTGTTGGAGAGAGGACTAGGTTGTCCGGCGGCTCGAGGATGGAGTGTGACGTAGTGGGCTCGGTTTCCTCTGGGTTGGCGAGATGAGTTGGGCGGACGCTGTCGTTGTCTTCAGCTTCGCTGTTGTCAAGGTCGTCAACTGGTAACCTAAGCTCGCCGGGTGGAGGTGCGAGGATAGGACTGTGCTCGCCAGTCTGAATGGCGGAGTTGCCAATGGAATACCCTGAGCGTTCGAGCAGCTCATCCAGTGGCCGTTCCCGGTATCGAGCCAGCTCTTCGGTCTCATGGGCATCTTGCTCCTCATGGTCAGCATCTCTACCTTCTAACTGTTCAGCAAGCTCAATCTCTTGCGCCCAGATTTTGCGTTCGGTGCGGGTGCGGTAGCACTCCATCAGGAGGTCCTCCTTTGGCTTGAACATGATATCCAGAATCTCGTTGAATCCTTGTTGGGTGACTTGATACAAGATCTCTTTGCCGACGTCTCGCTCAACTTCAGGCACCTCAAACCCACCCCATCGTTCACCAACCAATATGCTGCGTGACGATGTTGAAGGGTTTGATCTCACATCTTCGTAGTCGTCGTCGACATCGGTCAGGTCATCTTGGAAGCGTACCTTGGAAGAAGATCGGGAACGTGGAGAAGGTGGTTGTGACTCGTACTCTGGCTCTGCCGCATCATCGTCTTCGTCTTCATCCACATCCGAGTCTGTCTGGTAGCCGTCGGGAGCAGTACCACCGTCCTCTTCATCAGTGTAAAATGCCCTTCGTCGCCATCGTTCATCTATGCCCTGTCTCCGGGTAGAGTCGACACGTCTTTGGTCGCTATCACACATTCGGTTATACACGGCTGTTCCAATCCGAGCCCTGTCATCCGGATCTGTCACATCTTGAAGGGGCACGTACGATCCAAGCGCCGTGACGATATCAGTCGATGTGATATGTTCTGGGGGAGGCCAATGGTCACTTTCGGCAGATAAACTCTCCGTCTCATCGTCGTGGTCCTCCGCGTCATGCTCGTTTTCATCCCTGGCACTTCCTCTCCTCCGGCTACCAGATGCTTCTGCCGCGTTTGACCCAGACGGACCTACACGAACTGTCACGGGAATGAGAGGTTGAGACCGACCAAAGTGGCGTCGAACAGCAGCTTCACCGACAACGGAGTGCCGGTCTCCAGTATCGGCACCGTCGGCACGAAGCACGCCCTCGCTATCCACAATCTCCATATCTCCCTCCTGGTTAACGCGTTTACCCTCTCCTATCCTAGAAGGGTCTCCAGAAGGAATACTTCCGGGGAAGGCAGAGCTAATAGGTTGACTTCCGAGCACAACATCCCGCGCGCCGCCTTCCAAAAAGTCGTCCTCCATTCCGGCAACCATATCTCGGGTGAGCTCTCTGCTGAGGGTATAGTACGCCCGGAACACACGTAGGAAATCCTTACGTTCCACAAAGCCATCGCCGTCAATATCGTATCCACGGAAGACGCGCCGCAGCCTCTCATCGTTGCTCTTGTTGTTCAGGCTAGCTAGACCTTTCAGGAACTCCTCAAACCCGATGAGCCCGTCATTATTCGTGTCATAAAACGCAAACATGCGGTCATAAATCAAGCTAGGAGGCGGTGGCCGGACTGATGTGTTGGGGACAAAGCAGCGATCAAATGTCTTCCGGTCGATGGCCATGTACAGCTTATTTGGATCTTCGGCCCATTCACGGTTCGCTAGGCATCGGAACTGGTCCCAGAGAGCTTCTAATTCAGTCCCCTCAAAGCTAGTCTCTTTCATCAAGCGTTTCGCTAGCGACCGCGGTAATGTGCGCGGAAGCATCGAAGGCTTACCCGGATACCACACAGGCTGCGATTGTCGAGGATTGCCAAGGAAGGGCGCAGGTATCCGGACTTTGTAGAATAGGTGTGTCTTGATATGTACTTGCATCGCCTCGCAGGTCTCGCAAAGATCATAATCAATGCAGTTGGCGCATCTGTAACGGATGCCTTGAATGGGCATAGCTCCACAGCTGTTGCATGTAACACCTCGATGAATGTATCCGTCCTTCCTTGCTTGGTCTTCCGCAATATGATAGAGAAGGTTAAGCAAGTTCTGGCCTTCGCGCGCCGGGGCGGAGTCGTTGTTCCCCTCTCTCCACGAGAACACACTCTGGTCGTCGACAACAGTCTCCCCACCATCCATAACCTGCGTCTGCTGGGTCTCATCCGCAAAAGTCGAAGTCGACAGCGTTACTCTCTCTCCGTTCTGTCGCCGACGCCGCAGTTCCTCTCCGTAGTTACTGTCCGCATTAAAGCGCGCGATCGCCCTCTCGATTCCTGACCGGGAAATGCCACGACGCTGTAGCTGCTCCATCAAGTATTCCATTTCCGGACTTCCTTCCTCCAATACGTGCGTTGGCGGAAAATCCAAGGCGAAGAACGATTCCAAGAACGTGTCCTCCATCATCTCGCGCATCCGCTCAGCATGGGCCTCGGGAACGCCGACCTCGTCCATGAGCTGGTCCCGCGTCGCAAGAAGCGAGGGAAGTAAACCGCTCTCAACCCGTCGGCCATCTTCGGTTTCTATGCGAAAGGTCCCGTATACTCCGTTCTGGCGTTCCAGTAGCTCTAGGTGGGCGATGGCTAGCGACGACGGCGTGTCGGCAGGTGCAGATTCGTCGGGCTCATTTCTTCTGTGCCGGCGAACGGCTTTCCGGCGTCGCAGAGATGATTGTGATGTTGATGGTGAGAAAAGCTGGTTTCGCAGGAAGACAAGCGCGTACGCCGCAGCAACACCGGAAAGAAGGTAAACGAGAGGACGGTATCGAGCGAAGGTCAGCCTTGGTTGCGGTTCGGACATGGTGGAGGTATTAAGAAAGCTATCAATAAATACAAATCATCATTAATACAGCATTTCAGGGAATAAAGTGAGGTAACAAGAAGAAAGAATGGCCGAGCAACGAGTGGTGTGAATGTTCGAAGAACAAGAACATCGGAGCGGAAGGAAAACCATCGGGATCGCCGCCGTGCGCAGCGGAGATGACAGAGCCAAGCCTTTTCAACAATTTACTTTTATATACTTCTCTCTATATACCGAGTCTACTCCGTACCAACGCTAAGTACAAATATCCTCATCTATATAAGGAATTTACATCCAGCCCCCTGTACATTCGAGTTCCATTCAGCGTGACAAGCTTCGTTCGCGAATGAATAAGCTGCTCACAAAGGCAAAGAACACCACGCCAATCAGGAAAGCGAATCCTTTATTGGTCGCCCATCCATAGCAGTCGCGGACTGTCCTTGCAATAACCGGGTCTAGGGTCTTGATGAAGTCCAGACTCTGTCGGACCCCGTCCACAATTCTGTCGATATCCTTGCTGTCGCGGAGGGCGTATCTCAAGCGAGTCCTCAGAACCTGCTGGACGACGGTAGAAGACAGTGCAAGACCAATAACAGATCCCAGGGAGCGGAAAAGGTACGAGCAGGCAGTCACGACTGCCTGATCCTCTGGAGTTGCATTCGAAACTGGTGCATGACGTTAGCAGTCAAACGAAGACATGAAGAAGGAAAGGCCTACTCAAGCTGATCAAGGTGGTTGTAACGCCAATACCGTTTCCGAAGGAACAAGCCACTGTCCCGAGGATTATGGGTACTAAGCTGTCTGTGACGACGCCAGAGAAAAGGGTGATCACAACAAGACCAAGAGTAAGGGAGGCATAACCAGCGATTGTCAACCAGTAGTACTTCCCAGTCCACTTCATGACGAATCCCGCGAACAAAGATCCGGAGACACCGGCAAAGATACAAGGCAGGAGTCGTAGACCAGCCACCGTTGCGGAGACTCCGTCAACGGCTTGGAAGTAAAGCGGGAGATAGAAGAGACCAGATAGCCAACCACCAAAGCTGAAGAAATTACAGCCGTAAGCAGCGACGAAGCCGCGGTCGAAGATGATATGACCAGGGGCAAACGGTTCGGTTGCGTAGTATATCTCAACCACAACAAACAAAATGAACAGGCAGGCGGAAACGCTGAGTGAGACGATCGTTAACGGCATCGTCCAGGAGACATTACTACCTCGGTCGAAGCCGACAAGAAATCCGAGAACTGCGCCAATAAGTACAACTGCTCCAGGGAAGTCAATACGGCGAAGCTTCTGTTTCCAGTGGCTATCCTCTGGGGCAGGTAGATCTAGTACGACGGATACCGCGATGAGCGCAATAACACACAGCGGGAATTGAGCAATGAAAGCCCTAAAATAGTCAAATCAGATATCAGCATTAAGCACCATTGCGTATGTCATACCATCTCCAGCCAATGTAGTCCGCTAGAATACCACCTGTTGCAGAGTCACATGTTAGAAAAGACCGATTCAGCCAGAGCACGAGGATCTCTTACCGAGAGGTGCACCGATGCCCGAACCAGTCGCGTATATGATGTTGATGACTCCCTGCCAGACACCTCTATCACGAAGCGGGATAATATCACTCAGAAGGATACTAACAACCGTGGTCATACCACCGCCACCAATGCCTTGAAAGACCTAGAGCATTCGATTAGCATACAGGGCAAAACTAGTCCGCGGCCTCTTCATACACGAGCAGCAATAAGCTGATGAATGCTCTGCGCTAGACCACAGAACAGACACCCGATGCCAAACACGGCATACGCAAACAACAAGCAGGACTTCCGACCAAAGATATCACTCAACTTGCCGTAAAGGGGCTGAAAAGATGTCAAGGTCAAGAAATAGGATGTTGCGATCCAACTCGTCAGGTTCAATGCCTTCAAATCAGAGCCAATCTTGCCATAACTGGAGACGATGATTGTCTGGTCGGCTGCAGATAAGAAGACCTAAAGCAAGGTCAGCAAAATCAAGCGTATTTGAGAAATGAGCCAATTCATACACCAATTGAGAGCGCAGGCAATATGTATCTGAGGTTCAGTCCAGATCCCTGCTTGCTTGCAACTGTTCCTTCTTCTGTACGATCGGGATCGGGTTGATTGCCCGCCTCGGCCGTGGCAGAGTATGAAGCATGGCCGTTGCTTTGGGAGCCCAGCAACGGGGATCTCTCTGTATGCGGCGCTTCCGAGGACATCCTACCGGCAACGTGAATGTCTCATGAGTCCATCAACTGGAAGCAAAGGACTGAAAGATGACTCGACGACTCCAACTATTTCACCACCCCTCTGCTTGAAGATGTGCTAAGGTCACGTGGTGATAAGCGCCCCCAAAGAACCTCCACACTGATTGGCGGAGACGGCTAGACGGAAGATGGTGTGGCGCTAATCTCCAATTTGGCGGCCAGGAACCGGATTGTGCTTGAAGAGTTGACTCTATACGCTGTATGGATTTACGCTATCTAATGCTATTAACAGCCACTTGTACCAAGATATGCTATATACAATGCCACCTAGGCAGAGAGAGCCCTTCACAGTAATAGCAATGGAGTCATGCATCGTTCAACCGTCATTATACTCGTCACCGTTCCAAAATAATGCAATACATCACAGAATCACGCCTCGGTCTTTGCTTCGCTCGCTCCATCTACACCAATTAGAGGAATGGGGCCGCCAGGCGAATCTGGCAGACGTGCGGTCAGGACTTCCACGCCGTCTTCTGTCACCAAAAGGGTATGTTCAAACTGAGCGGACAGCGAGCCATCTGCAGTCGTGCTGGTCCAGTCATCCGGCCAGAGGCGGTCGCGGTGTGTGCCGATATTGATCATAGGCTCGATCGTGAAGCACATTCCGGGCTTTGCCGTTCCTACGGCCTTGTTTTTCGCATAGTGAGGAACGTTGGGAGCGCAGTGGAAAAGCTGATTGATACCGTGGCCGCAGTAGCTCTTCACCACACTGCAGTTCCGACTCTTGGCATGCTTTTCGATCACATTTCCAGGTTCTCGGAACAGCATGCCCGGCTTGACAAGTTCAATGGATTTGTCCAAACACTCTCTTGCCGTCTCTACAACCCGCACCGCTTCTTCGTTCGATCGCGCCTTCTCTCCGACGTAGTACGTTTCGTTGATATCTCCATGAAATCCCTCATGGTACAAAGTAACGTCAATGTTGATGATGTCGCCGTCCTCGAGCGGCCGTTGGTCGGGAATACCGTGGCAGATTGTCTCGTTGATCGACGTGCAAACAGACTTGGGGAAGTGAACGTAGTTGAGAGGCGATGGGTAAGACTAGTTGCATATCAGTATGGAAGTGCACGATGGCTCGAGAAATATCCGCCAGTACTCACGTTGCGCTCAACGCACGCTTTGTGGACTACCTCATCGATGTAGTCGGTGGTGACGCCAGGCTTCAGCTCTCGTGCGGCGATGTCAAGAACCTCTCGCGCCAGTCGGCATACTTTGCGCATGCCCTCCTGCTCTGCCTTGTTCAAGATAGTGATGTTATGTCGGCCAACAAACTTCTGCTCCGAGCGGGGAATGCCATCTTTAGCGTAGTCCGGATGGGGGATAGATTTAGGCACGGTCCTCATGGGCGACAGCGGGTAGACAGGTCGTAGAGATCCGGCAAAACCGAAAGAAGGGAAAGGGTTGAAGTGTCCGGTTGCTGGGTCTGGTTCAGAAACTACTTTGGGAGGAAAAAGGTTGGTGAGGAAATTACTCTTTTTGTGGAGGGCTTTGTGGTCGCTCTATGTAGGTCCGTTAGCATTCATAAACCAAAGGACGATGCGCGCGGTAAGCGTGTTCTTGAGAGCCTACCCAGCTTCGCTTGAAGCAGTCCTGCGAACAGAAGAAGCTGTCGAGGCCCATCTTCAGACATGTCGGGCACTGAAGGGATCCAGCATCCTTAGCACAATCGGTGCCGAAACATTTTCGGGGTGCGACTTCAGCAGTCATATTTGCAAGATATTATGCTGAGCCTTGCTGTATATGATGTAGAAGCAAGAATGACCTTCACGAGGCAGATTGAGTGATAGTCGGCGGAGGAGGATAAAGCCGCCGCGCCACCAGAAAAATCGGGGACGAGCGAGCCTCAATGGCCTAACCCAACCGAGACTAGCACATTCCCGTCTCCAGGAACAGACTAGCGCACGATATCTCCACGTGATCGCCCTTGGCAGGGTTCGGGCGCTAAGCTAAAGAAGGCATAGAGTGGTCTCGTGACACTGCATAGCTTTACTCCGGAGTAGGCTTTGCCGCTTGCGTCACGAGCGAGATCGCCAGCCCACCAGGAACCACAGCGGGGATTATCCTGCATTTGCATGCCAATTTTAGTTTGGAGGCGTCAGTTTGGAGGCATATCAACCTGTCGTCTTTCCGTGACCAATCTGTCGCTCTTCGGTCAAAATGGCATCTCCCGCCAAGCAAAAAGTGGTGATTGTCGGCGCCGGACCAGTCGGATGTTTGGCAGCTCTCTATGCCGCAGCCAGAGGCGACGATGTCGAGTTGTATGAGCTGCGAGGAGGTTAGTTTTGCTTTTTTTAGCACCTCGAGTCTAATTGCAAACTTGGATATGCGCCGTCCGCTCTGTGTTTCAACAAATCCTATGTCATCTGATTGCTCTGTATATACCTCGGCATCGTACTGAGTCATGTTGTTTCACAGATCTGAGAGTCCCTGGTACCGTCCCGCTGAACTTCACAAAGTCAATCAATCTATCACTGTCTCATCGCGGGATCACAGCGGTGCGGGGGTCTAACCGGGAGCATGTCATCAAGGAGATTCTTCAGGAGGTGGTCCCGATCTATGGCCGTATGATTCATGGAAGAGATGATGGAAAGTTGTGGGAGGCGCCGCAAGCCTACGATGTTCATGGCCGGGTTAGCCTTCCTACCATGCTAAGAAGAGCAAATCAAAGCTAATGATGTGGCGCAGAACAACTACTCTGCAGATAGAGGGATGCTGAACAACGTGTTCCTCAACGAGCTGGAGCGCACCCCCAACATCAAGCTCTTTTTCAACCACAAGCTGACCGGGGCCGACTTCCAAGCCAACAAAGCCTGGTTCGAGCGTCGCTTACCCGGCGAAGCACCCCTTCCCGGCTCATCTGGTCGTGTTCCTGAGATAGAAGTGGATTTTGACTTCCTGATCGGTGCAGACGGCGCCCATTCGGCCACGCGGTACCATATGATGAAGTTTGCCCGCGTCGACTACGAACAGGAATACATCGACACGCTGTGGTGCGAGTTCCGCATTCCTCCTTCCCCGACAGACGATTTCCTGATCTCGCCTAGCCATCTGCACATCTGGCCGGGCAAGGAGTTTATGTTCATTGCTCTTCCCTCCGTCGACAAATCATTCACCTGCACCCTCTTCGCCCCGGCAAGCCACTACGCTCAGCTCGAACGCTCCACAGAAGACCTCCTTCGGTCCTTCGACGAGCATTTCCCCGGCGTCTGCCCAAATCTCATCTCCCCTTCCGACCTCATCGCCCAATTCACATCGAATCCGCACCTCCCGCTCATAAGCATCAAATGCGCACCACACCACTACAACTCCTCTGTCGTAATCGTCGGCGACGCCGCGCACGCCGTCCTACCTTTCTACGGGCAAGGCCTGAACGCCGGCCTCGAAGATATCCAAGTCCTCTTCGACGCACTTGACAAACACGGCGTGTACAACGCACAGAACTCCGACAAGACCTCCCGCGCCCAAGCGCGCCACTCAGCTTTTGCAGCGTATACGGCCTCTCGCACCGCAGACGCACACGCCATCAACGACCTCTCGCGACAGAACTACGTTGAGATGCGCTGGGGCGTCAAACAGCCCCTCTATCGCCTCCGCAAGCACATCGAGGAGGCACTGTATCACTACCTTCCCAGTCTCGGCTGGCAGACACAGTATACCCGCGTCAGCTTCAGCAGCCAGCGCTACTCAGAGATCATCGATACCAATCGAAGACAGGGCCGCATATTAGGAGCTGTCTTTGGCTCGACGCTGATATCAGCTCTGGCGATGGCGGGTGTATATGTATGGAGACAGCCAACGACCAAGTTCATTTCGTACATTGGTCTGGGGAACACTTTACGGGGTTTCTTTACCGGTAATTCCTCGATCTGATCTTGTTACATCGGAATTCGAAGGTATCAGGTAAAGAAACACCTTTCGAGAGAGAAAAGTTGACATATTTAGATCGTAGACAGATTTGCGGTCATCTCGTCGTTGTTATTGTCCTTTTGGCATACTGTACAGTGCACTTCTAGCTACGATCACTAGAATAGATCCCCTCTGCTCTGTTTGCAACATGCATACATCCTTGCTTACATACAAAGTCCCTTTACTAGAGCGTAAAACTGTAACTAATCACTTGACTCCAAGCATGTATTGAGGCAGCATACCACCAACCGGAGGATCCCGGGCAGATGCACCAAATCCACGGTATCAGTATCAGTATCAGCTAAAGCCCATCCCAAGACTAGACTATGAAGGCGCAATGCGCGCATAACTGCGTGTCCAACTTGGACTGGCTGAGAAAAGCCGAACAGTGCCGAGCGAGGAGGAGCGAGAAACAATTGTGAGCGAGTTCAGTGTCAGATTGTCAGTGCGTCTGCAGGAGGATTCTAGCAGAGCATGCTGGACAGAGATGTTAGCCACCAGTAAACATTGCTAGTACATTATTCTCCCCGGCCAGGGCCGGGTATGGCGGTTAATCGTTCCCTGTTGGTACAGCTGTCCGAGGCTGCAGGATGTAACTAGCTAATATGCCAGGTTCCCGCGCAGCCGAGCTGGAGGCTTTGCGGAACTTCTTACCTCTAGTGGGACAGTGTATCTCGCAGTGACCCTTTACATTGGCTGGTAGAGAACACTGTTAGTAACCAGACCTAAGGACTCAAGGTAGAGAGTGGATCGATCCATTCAGTGGCTGGCCAGCCTGGGGCCCTTACAGCTGGTAAGCCAAAACAACACATCGGTTAATGAAGATGCACACTGACAATGACTTGACTTTGGCATCCACAAGAGCACAGACACAGGCATAAACATAAAGAAAACATAGATAACTGAGTATAAAGCGTAAAATGGAAGATACCTGCCCAAAACCATAAAATAGAAAAACATAAGCCCATTGCATCATCATAGCCCAAGACTGACAGGCATCCCCGAATATAATTCGAGCCTTGGTTTGGTTTCGTACAGTACAAGACGGATCCCAGATCATCCCGAACCAGTAGACATAACATAAACACATCAAAGACATTATATCATAAAGTAAAGAAAGCCAGCCAGAGAAAGTACCGCCAGAATGGTTTAGCGATGACAGAAGCAGAATAACGGAGCCGAAAAGGTCAAGGGACTGGTGCAAAAGAGCAGCATGTGTGCTGGCTATGTACGGAAGTATCATCGCGGATATGTTAGTGGTATGAGGCATTCGGAGGCTGTGGCCAGAGAGCAATCAAAAGCAGGAAGCTTCTAAGGACTTGGACGAAGCCCTCCCATGAGGTCCGAGTTCATCCTAAGGATATTTCCTGACGGTGGACAGAGACAGATCTGTGAAGGAAGTCCAGGGATCCAATTTCCAACCAACGTGGATAGTTTCCTCCTGGGAGACGGGTTCCGGGGAAAGTCTGGGTTTAGGTTCTTCCAAGGAAACAAGGGACGTAGAGATCCAAGTCATGGGAAGATCAGGAAAAGTATTGGCCATGTGGAGAGGAATCATCTACCTCCGGCGGCTACGCCTTTCCTGGATGCGTCTCTCGGTGTCAAGATAGAGACGGTCAAGATATTCGACGGCACTGGCGTCCCTGAGGAGCTTAGCCACTTGAGTCCCGGCAGAGATAAGCTGGAGGACATTTCGGTCGTCCTTGATGGGTCGCGATTGGTGCTTTGCAGCATGTCTCATCTCCAGGGAATTTTCCAAAACCGTAATCAGCTGCTTTATCTGCCCATTGTAGAGAACTCTGGCGGGGATGCGGCGCTTAGTCGCTAGCCTTCTGAGAAGGTATACCCACTCAGTCCATTCCCGGTCCGAAGGGACCCTCACCTCTCTCTTGTCTGGCTCAATCGGAATGGGGAATCGGTACTTCCCAAAGAAATCAAACGCGCACTGTGACAGCCGGTCGTTCACCGAGGCCAAGATTCGATCTTGCTCTGAGACATCAAGATTAGTAGGAAGATGAGGTAAGTCTCGCCCTTGGGCAGCAACCACTTGCGGTGAGGGCGGGTCTAGGAACTGATGGGGGCCATCAAACTCGTCACGGTTCGAGGGACGCCTCTGCGAGTGATACCGAACGGTTCCTTTGTACTTGTCTGTGGTACGACGACCTTTCCTTTCGATGAGATACTCCGCACTCTCGGATGGCCTTTCATAACCGTAATCACGATTTAGTGAGTCGACCGGAAGGCGAGCGGGGTGGTTCAGTTCTCGATACATCGGGCTTGGGTGTGGTAAGGGTGCCCTCGGAGAAAGAGATATGGCTCCAGGTGAAGACACTGGAATGGCGCCATGAGGAAAGGAGAAGTCGAACTCAGGCGATACCAGCTTTGATGGCCTTGACGTTGGGATCTGCGTGTGCGCCGAGCCAGGTTCAAGTCTTGGTGGGGACGGGAATGGTTTCGTACTGGGAAAGAACTTCAGCATCGGGCCTTCCAGAAGCGAAGCACAAGAGACAGCAGTTGCCATGAAAATACCTTGGCTGATAGATCAGCGGAGGCTCGCTGGAAGCTCCGTATATCCCCGGCTGCCGTGGGATCATGCCACTATTTTAAGGTGAGCACCATCCAAGATACAAGCTAAAGAAATGAGGCAACAGAAAGGAAAGGGCGATCTTGGGATGTGAATCCCCGTTAAAGCTAACCTCTGATGAGACCACCTATCTGAATCGGTGCTCAGTGAGTGTGCGTAAGTGCTGCTGCCTGTGCTCGAGCCGGAGAAGTAGGACGACATTGCGGACACTGGGGGGTGAAGGACGAGAGGCATATGTTGAAAGTACATAGAGAAGATCGCGAGAGTAAATATAAAATAGTAACAGTGGAAAGAGGGGTCTTTAATAAATCAGAGTCTCGTGTGCTCTACTAGAAGGCGCCTTGGCTTCAACATGGGTATCAGACAAAAAGAGTTCATTAAATTGGCACGGCCATGAGGCATATATGTAACAGTCAGGGCACGGGCACAAATTGTCAAGGCGGCAGATAAGCACTTCTGTCTCAGACCCACGAATTGTGAGGAGAGGGGGCTGCTACTCGTAGCCACTGACAAGGATGCCCGGACACACTCGAGAAGAATCTCGATTCGGGCAAGGAAGGAGCCGGGCATCAAAAGAGCCTGGTCTATGGAGTCGTACACGGGTTCAGCGGAGTCTAGGGTCAATTTCCACGGCCCAGTGGGTCGACACTGACAGGGTGGGAACAATAGATTCAACAAGCGGCGGTCACGATAAGATGACGATGGAGATCGAGCAATCAACCAGAGCACTAGGTAGATCTCCGAGGCTAGATTAATTTGCCGTCTCCGTATCCAACTATCCATCAGGTGGATAGCTGCGGCGGCCATTGAGCGCGGATTGACATGGATGAGCCTGAGGAAAACTCCAAGAACTTGCCCCCACAAGATGAACGTGGCCAACTTTGGTAAGCTGATCCTATCCTCAAATGAAAGAGGAATGAGGAGAAAGCAAGGGTCGAGATGGATGGTTAGGGTTTTGGGCAGCAATGGGAGAAGTTGGCATGGCGCAAGCTCCCGCTAGCAGTCGGCACGACAGCGACCTTCCAATCCCAAATATTCTACCCATTTCGGAACCTATCAAGTTCGAATCACATTGTGGCATCCCTGAATGTTTTTTTTTTTTCGATCTGGATTAGCTTACCTCCCGAGCCGACAATATCCACAACTCTGGGCGGCCTGAGATGGCTGACGGAGCCGAATACCATTGGGTACGCGCAAGTGACAGCCGAATATCAGCAAAATGGTTGGCAAATCATTCGCAGCCACTGACTCAGGTGTGACTGTTTTCTAGAATCCGATGGTCCGGGTGCAAGGTTTCCAGTGGTCAAGGGTAATCGAATACTCTGTACAGCTCTGAGCGTCCACGACGCATGGCTCCAGACGATTGGTGAGTGCGAGCAAGACTTTTCAAGTTCCACGAATCACCGTCCAACCGCCCCCTGTCTAATTGATGTTTCCCAAGCACGAGGTGCGGTCGTCGTACAAGCCAGCGTTGAACAGCGTTGGGCAAGGGGTCGGCGATTGCTGCTGGAAACGCAAGTTGAAACGACGATCAACAGTAGAAAGTCCAGCGGGCGCCAGTCAAGGCTGAGCCGGTCGCCTGTTGAATTTGGGAGATGAAGTGTGGAGATCCTGAGATCTTCATCGCCTGGCCTTGGTGGTGGTGTTCTGGGGAGTTGGGTTGGGCAGACATATGGCTGCATGTGTTGTTGCCCAAAAAGTCCCAGGCTGAGATCGAGCCGAGTCACCGTAAATAGGTACGAAAGCGGATGGATAACGGCCCAATGATCTACCGGAGGCCTGCCAGAGTATTGGCCCTGGCGATGGGCCGCCGGCACACTTTTGGTTTGCGCATCTGATATCGTGAGACTGGGGCTGGAGGTTTGAAGGTGGAGTTGGCGCAGTTGGCGTTGAAATCGGCTTGGGTCACGTGATGCCTAGGTAGCGTAGTCTCTCCAGCTTCGAGAAGTGCGGACTTAGGAGAGCAACATGCGGCGAAGAAAGAGACTCCGTACATGAGATCCGCTCCTGCGCTCCGCGCGCAATATGTCAAAGAAGAAAAGACAACACTATTGAGCTGCCAAACTGCGACTGCCTGAAGGCAAAACAAGCAAACGCAAGACACAAAAGAGAAACCCATATCCAGCTCAAACACGCCATCCCCAATAGCAACTCAACTTCTTCCTATCAGCTCAACCTTTGCCTATCTACCGAACCACTTATCGAATTATCGAATGAAGCACATGCCAACCTAACCCGCCATCTCTTCATTGGAGCTGTCGATGGTGATACAGGCGGATTCGGCCGGTGTCAAAATGACATTTGGGGCCGTGGTCATGATGACCTTTGAGCCGTGGTCAATATGAGCTTTGGGCCATGGTCAAAATGACCTAGAGGCAGTCCAAGTGCCCCAGCACCGCGGATCCGGGATCTTGGACCCCCTGACCCGCAGCCTCACTGCTGTCATGAACCTGTGACACAGCGCGACTCTAGTAATGATGATTAGCTACGCATGTCCAACATCGTGCTATATTTAAATGTACAACGCAAGAAAACGATTGACGACTACAAAGTGGAGCATCGGAAAGGCACTCAGTGATCATTGCGTATATATAAGGAGCGGACAATCAACCATGGCCACTAGCTGACTGCAAAATAGACAACGTCGAGGATGTCCATAACAGTGAGAGGTACGAGATAGAGAAATCAGCCTGCATGCTCCGACAGATCCATGCCGGATCCAAGACAACAAGTCCCTTAAACCCACTCAAGAGTCTTCCAGTAATCCTTGATGGGCTTCGGTCCCCAAACAATCGAGTCCGGAGCACCAGCGACAACCTTGAGCTTGACATACTTATCACCCTTGAAGAAGTACGAGACTCCATTCGAGCTGCCCGGCTCAGGGAACGCCGCATCAACAGAGTCAAACTTGGCCTTAGTCAGACCAGGCCACTGGTCCGTGAGCTTCGCAGGACCGTACACGATCTTGTCCTGGTTGATGTTGATGCGCACATAGTTCACGCCACGGAAGATATACGCTTCGCCCGACTTGCCGGGAACAGGGAGCACTGCGTCGACGGTGTCAAAGCCCGCCTCTCTGAGGCTGCCCAGCTTCTGCGTGATGACCCAGGGCCCGTCAAGGACCTTGTCGTCGTTAGAGGACGGGACAAGCTTGATGCGGGCGAAGCGCGAGCCGAAGAAGTAGTAACCCTCATCTTTGGTGTTTTCAACGGGGAGGATAGCATCAACGGTGCCGAAGTCGATGGAATGGAGAGAGGGCCAGTGGTCGGCGATGGTGGCTGGGCCATAGGTGATCTTTTCTTCTGAGCCTCCTGGCTGGAACTCAATGCGGGCGTAGCGGCGGCCCCCGAAGAAGTACGTCTGGTGGACTCCCGGGTGGTGAAAGACGGCGTCGACCATTTTGGTGGTTGGAAGGCAGAAGTTCTTTGAATGATTCGCGTTATTGAAGGTTTGTTTGAACTGATGTTCGATGATTCTGGTTATGGACAGAGTCGGGACGGTTGGGGGTTCTTATAGACTTTGGATGATCTCTCGCGAGTCCTTCTGGCGCAATCCTCTTCCAGTTCCGGCGAGGTTCATATCATCTCATGATATCATGGAGTCTGTACCAATGAATTGAAATCTGGGCAAGGCTCATCACATTCGTGAAGGCATCATTTCGAGTCAGAAGCCATTGCTGATGTATCATTGTGTTACAAGTGAATGTGGCGAGCTGACAGAAAGCATGTCTAGATGTCATACATGCATTTTCAGTTTGTGGTTTCTTCTACGGGGTAACAATGAAGTGCCGCCGGAAATGGCCATTGCTTACTTCGAGACCACCATACTGAGGATTATGACTCGGACCCAGGCTCTTTCATAACTGGAGCATAATAGATATTATTTGAGAGCTTAATAGACCAACTACATTAATGCGGTTCTGTAGAAGCAAACAAACAACCTGGGGCAGACCCGGAGAATGCTGAGCGGGCTCATCTCATGAGGTCGTGATCACATCTCCACGAAAGCAATTAGTATGCTGACTCTCCACTGTAACCCCAGAGAAAGCATACACACATTCCCTTGACTAAGAGATATTCGATCGATGGATATCTGAGGATCAATAACGTCAAGATTCACAGGGATCATGCAAGAAGGGGTAGTTGAAGGAGGGGAAACAAAGAAGCAAAGAAGCAAAGAAGCAAAGACGTCACCAAAGCAAGATGTCCCAAGAGGAGGACTGAGACTTCACGTCAATGATTAGCTGTGCTTGTAACCCTACACGTCACCAAATAGCTATGCTTATTATCCCAGACCGTGATGTTCTTTGGCATATGTGTATTTCGATGAAACCCCGGCTAGCCCAGACTTGTGGTCCTGGCTCAGCTAGGACTCGCAGACGACCATGTCCCAATGATTATCGAATCTCTTACGCCGCATGACAGCATCTACACCGCGCTGCGGGCTATTCTACTTTGAGCGAATCGCATTTTTGAAGGTGGTTGCTCAAGGCTGCTTGGACACAGGGCGACAAAAGTACGAAGGCATAAATAAGGCGATGCAGGAGGGCAGCTAGCAACTATTCTTTCCTTTGCTTCGTGGACGACGGCAACTCAACCCCTAAGTGGCGAGCATAGTCCTGGACATCAATGCCAATGCATGTTTCAAGTGTCCCTGGCCCAGTATAAAGATGTACCTCACAGCTTAAGCGAATCGCTTCTTCGATGCCAACTCGTTCCTCGTACCCCAATATGCGCCTAGGTTTTTCTCCATTCGCATATCGGACAGCGCATTCATCTTTCACACTCCCACGGCTTAAGTTGTCGCTGAACCGGAGACCCATGTTAATGTGCTTCCAGGCCGGACCAGCAAAGCAAGCCGACCATATGGAAATGTAGATCTCACATGACGGACTGTGGTTAAAATGGGCCTATATCGCGAGGCAGAAGTCCCTAAATGCGATGGGTTCGTTATTCTGGATGAAAAAGGCCCTCCCCCTGGCTGACCTCGAGGATGTCAAAAGTGACCTGCGGCTAAGACATGCGCATCTGCGACGTTGGCGATGTACGTGACATCCCATAGGTTGTTCCCGTCCCCTTACCTATAAACAAACGGCGTTTCCCCTTTTGAGATGCATGCATGAATTGCAGAGACTAGCTAGTAGTCGCCAGTCCACAAAGGATGGAAGGTCAGAGAGCACAGATCGCCATCGCATCGCTCGAGTATTGGAGGATCAAAGCCTTAGCGCCAGCCTAACAGTCGATCCGTAGCATCGCCTTACATGCTTCTCGAGATTCCGCTCAACCTTTCAGCAAGATCTGGAACGACCCCTGTCGTACTCTCGTCTGTGCCTGTTTGTCTGTCTCTAGATCGGCGACCCAAATCGCGCGCTCTGGCCGCCAGTTCCTGGCTATATTGAGCAGACTGCTTAGTATCTGACGTAGTGGAATCCCACTAATAAGTATTCGCATCAATAGTACGAAATGGCGGTATCTGGGGACGATTGTCACTTTGCCACGAGGGCTCACTTGTGGAGTTGCAGGAAGGAGAAAGCCGAGAAGGGCCCCGTCCGGACCGAGAATCCAGTTCTTGCCTCTCGTCATTCAATAAAGCTCCAGCTAGGTCGTGATCTGGGTACCCAGCGATGATTGTGGATCAGGATCAAGAAAAGTACATGAAGTTACTTAGGTTAATATACACAGTAGCTGTTTATCCCAACAGTCGCACAGGAAGACATGAGAAGCGCGACTGACCAAACTCCGGATATAATGCAAGCCCATCGTACAGCACCCCTTTGAGGCAAATTTCAACGAGATCTACCACGCCCACCAAGTCATTATAGAACGCGACACAGGACAAGCCCTCCGAGCTTCTTCTCCACACACTCCCGCGCTTCCTTGATACCCTTGTCTGTTGAGAGGTACAGACTCTCTCCGGGAGATCGCAGTCCCTCAATGTAGCCACTTTTCTGTCCGCGAACGACCTCTCGCAGGCCAGCAACATCGATCGTGAGTCGTCTCGTGGGCTTGCTGACCATCGAGATCTTTGAGAGAACCGGTTGACTTTGCCAGTACTTCAGCCCCAGCCAGAGCCGCCGTGAGGCAACGTTGATTTGTGTCACTGGCTCCACATAGTATCCTTCACCATGTCCGGTAGGGATTCCGAGCAAATTGTGCATAGGGGGTGCTTCAGGACCTCCGCGGACAACAGAAGAAATGAAACCGTCGTTCTGAAGGGCGAGGCATAGCTTTAGGTGAAGGTTGGAGTTTGGGATAGAGGTAAAGCCGAGACGAGCCTTGGTGGCATTGTTCAAATGCGAACAGACATGGGCTAGGTTGACAAGAGACATGCTGAGCTTTGATCTGGCGCAACTGACCCGGTTGGCCGAAGGGACGGAAGTTCTGAGACAAATAGAAGATCAGTTAGGAGGAACGAATTGCGCACAGATATCAATTGCATAGATACCTGTTAAAGAAGGATGCAGAGCAAAACAAATAACACCAACACTCAGCGGCCCAGCTCGGATCTAGATGCCAATGACCTATTGAAGCTGTTAACTTGCGGGATGAATTTTTCGGAGAAACAATCGGACGGGGCCGGCTGGTGCCTGCAGAGTAAGGCCACCAAAGTCCACCTCGTTGCCTGTAGATCAAGGCCGCAATAAGGCACCCACTCACTATCGAATCATCTCCAGCTTCTAAGCGCCCTCGTTGCCGCCGGCCTTCTGCAGACTGGCATATCACAGCCCAGTGGCAGCTTGGTAAGTGGCTTTGCTCTATAAATCATTTTGTTGCCTGTCCTTCAACTTTCACCTTCTCCGTGCTCCCATAAAATCCCTCTACGCGCCCTCATTTTTGCAACATAACCCCATACTAACCGCGTATCATGCCTCCGCTACCAGGCGAGGAGCGAGTGCTGACCATGTAAGTACCATGATTACCCCGCATGTCTTACCTACAATGCCCAGGTCTGTTGACTAAGAGGCAGCTTCGCCGATATCCATTATTACTTCACGGCACCGACCCCAAAGCCCCTCCTCCATCGCTTTGACAAGGGCTCGTATCTATATCTATACCACAATGCCACCCAGCGGAAGACAAGGCTTGAAGTAGCGAATAATCCTGGGACTCCTGGTCAGGATGCCTTCAACGGGGGTAAGCTTGTCGCCAGCTCTTAATGCTTTGCTAAAGCTAATTGCTCTCAAGCTCTTGACAATGTGCATATAAGCCATTCTACGAGATTTCCTTCTCTATGCACAATTACTGTGGACGGGCAGACGCAAACACAGGGAGGTTATGCCTTTCCTCCGCCACCAGGCAGCGCGAATCCGTATGAATGGCAGTTGCCGACCAGCGATTCCCGCGGCGAGAATGCAATTCAGCGTCTGCATACTCTAGACATCTATTTCTGGACCCAAGGTGATGCAGACCAATTCCTGGACCTGACCGAGCAATACCTGTCTCGCGCGCAGGTAGATACGGATAGACGTCCATTCCCCCCTCCATCCGAAGTCAACACCACAAGCACCATCGTACAACAATTAGAGAACGTGGCGATCACGGACCCTGCCTACCAGAATGGTCAAACCCGGAATTCCCAGTCAGAAGCAATCGCCAGCCCTGCGCCCATCGGCCTCCCTCCGCCGCCGCCACCTCCGCAAGCCGGCCCAAGCGCAAACCCAGCAGCATTGCATCAACATACCTCGTCCGTCAGCCCTCTCTCAGCTGAGCAGAATAGAGACTCTGCCCAATTCACCCCTCTCCCATACAACCCTGCTGCGCCCGCTGCGCCGGAACCGATCAAACATCGCGAGAAGACACCACCGCCTCCCGATGCCGGAGAAGGGACTGGCCTTGCAGCTGCCGTAGCAGCAGACCACGGCGCCCATTATACTAACCCTTCCCAGACACCTGGAATAGGAGGAAGCTACGCAGGACCTCCCCAACAGGGCCAGAGCCAGGCAACACCAACTCCATACGGCCTCCCAGGAGCGTACGCCTCCCCACCACTCAGCGCAGGCCTCTCCTTCCCACCCCAGCACCAAGCACCTATCCAAAGCCCACCCGTCACCGTACCCTCCTACCCCTCCCAAACATCAGTTCAAAGCCCACCAGCATCAACAGTCCCTTCCTACCCACCCGGCTACCTCCAAGGCTACGCCCAGCCGCAGCAAGCCCAAGCCCAACAACAACAACCCAGCTTCTACGGCACGCAAGTCCCCTCGATAGGCGGGTACTCCAACTATTCCTACGACCAAACCCAGTCTCAACCGCATCATCACCACCATCACCACCATCAGTCAACACCCAGCATCACATCATCCGCGAGCGTCGGTGCCGGCACGCCAGGCTCCGAATACTCCATCCACAATCAGATGTACCGTCCCACTGAAGCAGAGGCCTCCTCGCATCTGCAGGACCACGCCAAGCTGGCGATGCAGAATCCCGGCCAGCGGCCTAGGAAGCTGGAAGATTCGGCCTCTAGGGTTGAGAGCAGCGTGAATCGGTTCTTGAAGAAATTGGAGAAGAAGCTTTGATTCTTGTTTTTCGTCTTACATCCCTATCGAATTATGGGCTGTGCGGGAGTGGTTCGCTGCTAGCTTGGTGATTGTTCTTGCGCGGAACGGTGGACATTCTATGTTTGTTAAGCACGTAGGTAGGCAGGGGCACTCGGGCCTGTCCTCTTGTTCCGGATTTTCTTAGCTTGGGTATATATGTCATGGTGTACGGAGTACCTTTTCTATTGAGCTCTTTGATATGATTATCCCACCACCACCAATACGCCATGCTCCGATTCAATTGGGATACCCATAAGCATATACACCCGTTGAAACATAAGCGTCTGACGACCATCACAGCAACCTAGCCTCGCCCTGCAAGTGGCACTTACTGCATCGACCGCAGATCCAGCAAAATCAACTCATATTTTAGAGTCAAAGGCATTAGAAACAAGACCACACCAGACTGTAAGCAATTATAAACGAGAACCTTGGTCCATGAGCCTAAAATAAATCTATGCTATTCAAGAAGAGAAGAGAATAAGCGAACTTCCAAAGTTAATCAATCTCCAGAGATAGGTAAACAATTCTGACGATCGAAAGAAGAAAGAAACGAAAACGCGGCCCTAACTCACTAGCACACTAGGTGCTAGAAGGCTCCAGTCCCGAAGGATAAGCGGCACGGCAAGAGTTAAACTATGTGTAGCAAAGCAAGGGCAAGACGGGGAAGATAAATAATTGACAAGATAATTGAAAAGGTAAACAGCCGGAAGAGGATGATAAACCAAGATACTCCTAAACAGGTTGATGCAAGTGCAAGACAAGATGCAAGGGAAAACGCTAAATCACCCAAGGATTTCAAATCCAACACCACTAAATGAATGCACAACGGACCGACGCGGCGGTTGTGCTGTGCTGTGCTGCGTTGTAGCATAAGCATAAACCGTTTCCAAATGGGAAATAGAGACGAAATAGACAAACAAAGCTGATGCAGAGGATTGGCCTCTGGAACATGGACGTGAGAAGGGTATAACAAATATATCACAAGAATCGAAATGAAAATGGAAAGTTACAGATGCTCTGGGAGAAAACTCGAGATGACGTTGCCTAAAAGGTGTCGTCATCATCGTTCAGCGACCATTTACTGAGGTCAATATCGTCAACGTCCGGCTGGTTCGAGTTGAGAGGGCCTTCGCTGGTGATGTCGGGCTTCTTTTCCTCGGCAACAGCTACTGCATCCGTTTCAATCGGTTCAGCTGTCTTGGTACCGGCACTATAGGTGTTGGCTGTTCCAGTCGGCTTCTCAATGATTTCCGCAGCTGGAGCCAGAGTCTTCTCCTCCGTGTCCTCGGGGATCGGCTCAGTGGCCTCTGCACGCGTGACCTGCTGTTCGACGATTGCAGGTTCTGTGGTCGCCTCATCAGTGTTCTCTTGCTCCGTAGTGGGCGTCACATCTAATTCGTTCGACTTGCTATCGGTAGGCTCAACCACAGGCTCAGTTATAGGCTCAGCAACGGCTTCCACAGGCGCCTCAGCGATAATTTCGTGCGACTTCGCTGAATCAACAGCTGGCTCTGGAGCCTGTGCTGACGGGCCGACGGAGGGCTCAGGAGTGATTTCCTGCACGGTCTGCGGCTCAGGTTCGGCCTTTTGTTCGCTTTCAAGCGGTGCGTCGACGGATTGAATCGCAGGCTGTTCTTCAACCTCAGCAGGCTTGTGAGATGCAACTTTCTCTTTCGTCGACTGGGTAGATCGAGTGGAAGGAATCCTCCTTGGAGCGCGAGCCACCTTGGTTCGAGGGGGGCTCTTGACGTCCAGCTTCTCGTGGGCTTTGTTGGCGGAGCTTGCTGTGGGACGCATCATTCTTGCCAGGAATCCCTCATCAACTGGCTTAGAGGCAGTGCTTGCACGGGAGTTGGAGCGGTCGCTTCCTGACGGAGGGGAGCGCGAGGCCGGTTTGCGAACACTTGAGGCGCTAGGGGTAATTGCACGTTGGCGAGTTCCAGTCGCACTCTTCAAGCTGGACGGCTTGCGCGATAGATTAGATGTAGCCCCAGCAGTAGCACTTGACCTCGCGGCGGATGTACTGGTCGTTGTAGCGGAGTTTGCTGGGCGAGCTGGCCTAGCTGTTGATGATGATCGGACATCGCTAGAACGAGCTGCCGACCGGGTGGTTTCGCGAGCTGCCGGTCTTGTCGGGGCCTTGTTGCTCGTGGCAAGTGATGCCCGACTTGACTTGTGGACGGGGGCTTTCACTGAGTCATTTTTCACACCAGTGGTAGTAGTTGTAGAGGGTCTAGAAACGCGCGTTCTAGGTTTTTCATTCTCAGGTCTATTAGCCGAAGCTGGCGTGCGCGATTGGCTTGAAATCTTGGATGAAGCTTGCGAGGCAGGTTTGGTGGTTGAGGTGGCCTTCCCGGCGTGTACATCTGACGGTTTCTTTGGGACTGTTTTTGTCGACTTCGTAGGCGCAACCGTAGGCGACGTGGAAACCGGGTGATTCTCCTTGTTTGCGGATGATGTCTCCTCAACTTTTTCTTTTCCTTTCGCCTCAACGGTATCCTTAGGAGTATCCTTCTTCTCCGGTTCGTTCACTTTCTGCGGTGTACCCAAGCCATTCGTCGGCTGGGTGGAAGATCCATTGCTTTTGACGCTGCCGTCGAGATCTTCAGAGCTGAAGCTCTTAACCCTAGAAGGAGAAGGGAAGCCTTCGCTTTGCGGGCTCACGCGCCGCAAGCCTAGGACGGGACCTGACGGCGATCCTCCTTCAACAGCGACAAAGCTTGCGCGCACCTTGGACAAATCGGAACCGGCGGGAGATCGGTCTCGTGGAGGGGGAGAAGCGGTGCTTTGCTGATTATTTTCGAACCTTGCTAGAAGGCTTTTCACACCTGGGTGGGCGCCTTTGTCAGCCATGGCGGTGATTGATGGCGCTGCAGGGCGATGCGCGGTCCGGGGAAATTGAGATCAGTGGTGATCAAGGCCGGCTGGCCGAACGAGCTTGTCAGATAGCCCGGATATAACAGCGCGCCGATACCTGGTCTGGTTGATGGCTTTGAGTCGGAATACAGGCTGAATTTGCGCTGCGTCGCGAAAGCCAGGACACGTTGGTCTGATGGTGGAAGCGAGCGAAGAGGGGAAGAGTGGGATATAAACAGTGGCACCAGTATGGTAAACAAACAAACGCAGGGACAGATCAATAATGGGATTGGGCAACCAGATGCGGAAACTCAGGGTCAGCGAGCATGATAGATAAAGAAAGGCTCTAGAATAACCATGGAATGAACAAGTCAATCATTTAGATGAAGAGGAAGAAAGGAGAGAAGCTGACACAAGGCTAAGGCAGGAGTGGAGATGCAGCCTGAGGCCGCGGTTCAGGGGTCGGATCCACGGCTTCATCTCTATCTCTTACTGTTTCACAACGACTGGCCTCCTCAATAATCTCGGCTTTCTATCCTGTTACGTGACCGGAAGTCCGGAACCATAGCGTTGCCACTATTAATTGACCTCAGTCTTATTTGTACAGCGCCTTATGACCACTTGTCAACTTGCTTTTCTCAAAATGCTTGTGGAGGGCAGAGGTTTTTATGAAGTGAAAGATGATGATATTCCTAGGATCTTAATAATTAAGGTAGCTAAGTATAAAGGTTGTTTACCGCCTAGCTTATATAATAATAAAAAATATTATTATTAATAATGCCAGGGAATAAAAAAGTTTATATTTTTATAAATTATAAAACAGGCAAAGCATAAAAATAAATAAAAAAAGTATAAAAGTAAAAAGAATATAATTATTATAAAGTTTTATTTTATATATAAATTTACTTAGCGTGCTTAAAGTTATATTTAATAATAAGATTTTTATAGTTTATATTATTAGTTTATACCTACTTATTATAATTAGCAAAATATTTAAAATAATATATAAGGTACTTAATATAAAAAGTTTATAAATAGCTATATTTATAAATATAATAATTAAGTAATTTCTTAACTTTATAAGGGTTATTAAAACTAGTATTCTTAATAATTATAAGTAAAGTAAAATAATAATAATTTTATAAATTTTTTTTAAATAAAGTGGGTTTAAGCTATACTATAAATATTATAAAATATATTTTTTAATTAAGTAGTAAATTTTTAAGGTAGTAAGCCATGCGCTTAATATATTTTTTAATTTTAAAAAAACTAGTAAATTATTTAATAAATTTAGGTAAAAAATAAGTAAGTATAAGTAAAGCATACTTATAATATAAGTATAAATAAACTAGCTAGTTAATAATAAACTTAATAAGCTTATATTTTTAGTTATAAATAACTTTTATATAAATAGTAATAAAGTTTAAAGCTTTTTTAATATTAAAGTATATAAAAAAATCTTAATTTTACTAAAAAACTTTTTAAAGCATGTTTTATAATAAATATAAGTTAATATTAAATAAAAGCTTATATAACGTGAAGTTTATAGTTTATAAGTAAGTAAAATTTATAATAAAAATAATAGCTAGTAAAATTACTAGCTAAAAAAAGCCTTAAATTATTATATAATAAATTATTACCTTTATTTTTTAAATTATTTTTTTAAATAAGTTATTAATTTATAGGTAAGCTATAATAATATAATACTATATTATATTAAAAGCAAGCTTAATAAATATTTCTTACTAAAAAAAGAATAAGAACTTTAAATCTTAGTTAAAAATAAAATATTTTAAAATACCTTAGTTATAGGTATAATAATATTTTATAAAGGTAAAACCTTACTTTTAGGTTATTTATATAAAATATCCTGGAAGTAGGCTAAGGCGCTTAATAAACTTATTTATAATAATAAGTAAAATATTAAAATAAATAGTATTTTTTTAGGTGCAGGAATAGCTTTAGCATGTTTATTAAAAGTAAATTAATAATAAGGTAATTTTATAGTAAAATTTATAATAATTATATTAAAAGGCGTGGCTACTATACCTATAGGTTATAAAAAACTAAAAGGTTTATAGTATTTAATAATATTTTTAAAATAAAATAAATAGCAAGTAATATAATCTTAAAAAAGTATTTAATTTTTATATAATATAATATTATAAAAAGCTTGTTAATAAAAATCTAGACCTTAATATTTGTGCTTATTATAAATTATATAAAATATTTTTATAAAAAGTAACTAAAAAATATATAGCTATAATTTTATAAGTAAAGTTAGTATATTATTAATATTTACTATTTCTTAATATTTTATATAAAGTATATTATTTTTATTTAGTAAATATAGTAGGGTAGCTATTTAGTTATTTTTTAAGGCTTTAAAAATTATTAAAGTATAAAAATTATTTTTATACTTGCTTTTTAAATATTACTAGAAGCTTTTTAAAATAAATAAAAAAAATAAAGTATAGCTATTATTAATATATATTTTAACTAGTAAAGTAAAAATAATAAGTAAATAATTTAAATCCGCGAAAGTTCCTGGTGTAAGAGTTTTATAAAATAATTAAAAAAGCATGTTTAAAATAATATTAGCCTTACCTAGCTTATAAAAAAAATTTAGCTTAAATTACTAAATAAACATGCTAGCTTAAACTAAGTATAAGTTTAAATTTTTAATAGCTATAGTATTTAGTAATATTTATTTAAATATATTAATTATAAAGGCGTGATTAATATAAACTATTATATATTTTACTATTTTTATAAGGTGGCGGACTTTTTTAATTATTTAAATTAGGTAAAAAATTTTTAGTTTTATTAACTAATAAAAAAGCTTAGCTTTAATTAAAATATAAAAAAAAAGTACTAGCTTTATATAAGTTTATAAAAAGGAAATTTTTAAATTATTATAATAAAAAGTAAGATTAATATAATAAATTATAAAGCCATAGCCTAGCTTAAAAATGTTTAGGTTTATATAAAGTATAATTTTTAAGTTAAAATAGTAAAGAAACTATAGTTTTTAAAACTTATTTTAAATATTTTTAAAGGTATAAAGTTTTTTAAAAGTAAAAATATTTAATAATATATAAAAGGTGTAATCCTTGCGGAGTTAGCCTTTTTTTAATATAGGTTTAAAAAGGTTTATTTTTTTTAATTATAAAAAATTAATTTGCTTGGTGTATTTTAAAATCACGTGCCTAAACTAGCTAGTTAGGCCTATATAATATTTTAGCTAGTAAAAAGTATAAAAAAACTTTAGGGCTAAAATAGCTTTAATTTTTTTTACTAGTATTATAAAACTAAGTATATTAACTTATTATTTAAAAAGTTATACTAAGAGAAATCCTAAAAAATTTTTAAAGGTTTTAGTTTTATATTTATATTTTTAAGCCTTTAAAAAATAAGTAAAAGATGCTAAAGATATTCCTTAAAAAACCTAAAGGTAATAATAATATTATTAATATATATATAGTAAAACTTTTAGTATTTAGCTAATAATAAATTTATTTATTATTAAAGGTAAGAAACTAAGTTAATAAATTTTATAATAATTATATAAAATATTTCTTAGCCATGGTAAAAAATTATTACTAAATAATTTTTATGCTTTTATTTAACTAGCTATTAGTAAAAAAATTTAGCTATATTAATAATAAAAATATACGTGCATTCTTAAACAAGGCTAATTATTTTAAATTATAAAAAAATTAAATAAATATTAGGCTTGGCTTTTTAATTTATTACTTAAAGGTTAATAATAACATGTTTTTTTTATTTTTTTAGGCTATTTTAGTTAATTATGGTTTATTATATTATAAAAACAGGGAATTTTATTAAGGTGTATTTAATATATTATTTTAGTTTCCCTAACTATACTAGTAAATTAAATATAGTATTAATAACTTTTTAATTAGTAAAAAAAACTTAATATATATAAGCTTTAGGTAAGTAATATTACTAACCTTTATATATAAAAATAGGTATTTAATAGCTTTTTAGCAAGTTTACTATATTTATATTTATACCTTTAAAATTTACTTATATATTAAATCTTTTTACAAGCGCTTAATAATATAAAAGTTTTTTAAAATTATAGTAATAAACTATAATTTTATTAAGTAATAATTTTATATTTTTTTAAAAGTACTTCTTGCTAGTTAAGCAGCTTAAAAAGTTATAAATATTTAATTTTATTTAATAATATATATAGTATAAATATAAATAAAGTAGGAATAGCATGCTTTATAAGGTTTTTTTTTATAAATTTTTTTTATAGGTATAACTTTATAGCTTTTTTATAAAATTACTTTATATATTATTAGTAACCTTAATTATTTAATTTACTAATATTAAGGTTAGCTTTTTAATAAAACTTAATAAAGGTTAGGTTTTTTTCTAGCTAGTGGCTATTTTTAAAAAAAAAAAATTACTAACTAAGCAAGATTTTAGGTATTTTTTAAGATTTAATATACAAAAGTATATAAAATATTTAAAAAAGTTTTTAATTACTAGTGGTAAGTAAGAAAAATTAGTTTTAATATTTTATTTAAGGCCTTAATAAATAAGAATTTATAATTAATAAGGTGTGTATATAATAAAAGTTTATTATTTAATAGTTTAAATAGTATATCGCGCTTGGGTAGTAACTTTTTTTTAATTTAAATTAAAATATAAATTTTAAAATATACTAAAATAAATATAACGCGAAAAGTAAATATAAAAGTATTTAATAATTACTTATCCTTAAGCAAAGCTTAATAAACTATAAAAATTTTTAGGCCTTTATAAAATCTTATAAATATTACTAAGTAATTATTAAATAATGTGATATTTTTACTTACTAGGGTTTTTATACCTAGTAAAAGATTAATATTAATATTAAAAATTAAAAAAGTAATAATAAAAAACTTTATAAATAAATTACTAGATACTAGGCTAAAAAGATATATATTAAATTTAGTATAAATATTTAAAGGTATTTTAGT